AGTAGGTTAAAACTCTAAAGCTGTTATATACTGATATTTTCATGCATGGTACTAGCAACCAAATATATACGTCCTTGTCAACATCGCTCAGATATCGCTCATCTTAGGACCAATCCAGGCACTGACGAAACCCTCAGAGATAAGTGGCTGAAAGAGACAGTAGACGTAACAAGACTAATGTATTTGTTGCATGTTGATAAGATGGTCACAGCTCATGGCTTTATACTAGGGGTGATCGAAGCCTTCAACGACGAGGGAAGTGTGTTTGAGAATAGATGGTGATTACAATGTAGAGAGAAACCATGAATACAGAAAGCCATGCATCATATTATACTCATTGTATCAAAATACCAAACTTTCCGGTATAAGTATGTGTATGTTCTTCGCCTGATCATCTATCCTATAGTCACTTCCTTGGTCTACCCCCTGCAACCGCTCCTCCCAGCCTGCCAAACTTGCCCAGGCTACTCCTCGATTTCGTATGTTGTGGTCCGGATGGAATTCCACTTGGCGCATCTTTAGATACTGGAGACGGTCCAGATAACCTCGTCGAATCTTTGAAACCCCGACTCTCTCCACTCTCCATCCTCGACTCAAAGCTGCTCAATCCATCATCCATATCCCCTCCAGGCCTTCTTGCCCGTCTCGCCCTCTCTTGTACAATTCTAAATTTGTCAAGTAATTCTCCCCACCTAATACCACTTTCCTCCCTGCCTTTCAGTCTGCTACTCCTGTCATAATTTGACGGTCCTGCAGTTGTCTGAACGCTAAATGAAGGAGAAGAACTATGAGTTTCTGTGCCACTCTTTTGACGTTGATGGAGAGCAAAAGTAGAAAACGCGTCCACTACACTGTTATTACGAGATGAAGAAGGTACGTACGCTCGAGGTGCTATGTGTAGGTAGCCTATTGCGCTTACACTATTTAACCTATTCTTCAATGCTGCAAAAGCCGAGGATTGTGGAAGCAGCATAAGAAGGCCGTAAAGACACTTGTAAAGATGAGGATATTTTTCGGGCTCAAGTAGTTGGAGACGAAGATCTACAAGGGTGATTAGCAATATTTGTGGTTTGAGATAGTCACCTTACATGTGAAGACAGGTGATTCTAGCAATTGCACAAGTTTATCGATTTGGATAAGCATATTAACTGTCATCTCGAGTTCGGCACTGTTAATGTCAGTATTGTTTCGATTACGAACTGCTCATGCATACAATATCTGAAGAAGATTATATGCTTGCTCATAAGCTTGGCCTAAAAGACAAAGTGAGAAGGTAGCTACAGCATTGTAACACCACGACCTGAAGAGAGCGACGAAGAAAGCTTGTCCGTCCTATGCAGCCATTAGCAGATGATCTTTCGTTCGTTTATGGATATTGCGGACCTTGTTCTCAATATTTCGAAGCCTTTTTCTAAGATCTGCCAATTCTGGTGCAGTGATGAGATTATTATTAAGGTTCTGTACCATAATGCTTGCAAATTCAACATCTTCTTCTTTTTCTATGCAATCCGCAAGTGTTCTATAGATTCGCTCTGCGCTAAGATTAATACATAATTGTCGAATGATCAAGTTTCCTCGAGTCTCGAGGAGCTTCCTGTCAGTAGAAAATAGTTGAAGTAAGTTTACCATGAAAGAAGTGAAATAGTCATCATCGCTGTTTCTAGAAATTTGAGATAACAGTTGGAGATCCTTAGTCACTACGGCCTCCGATGGATCAGAAAGCGTTTTAAGAAGAGCAGGAAATATTCCATCATTAAATGCGAGCAGCTTCTTAGGTGCTTTCCTGTGTAGCATGAGTAACCAATTTAGAGCTTCTACTCTAGTTACTTCGTGATCATTAAGAAATAGTAATGTTAATGAGCTGACCGCTGCAGCGTAATTGAGATCTACATGCGCCTGGTATGGCGGTGTAGGTGTTTGCGCTTTGCTAGAGGGAGGTGGGGGTGTCTGTACTTCTATATCTCTCTTATCAAGCTCACGAGATCCGGACAAGGAGCCTCGATTTGTAGCGGAAGAGTCTCTTCGTTCAGTGGGATTCGAGTCTTTCATGGCGAGAAATCTCGAAGGGGCTGAGGAAGGTGCCTCTGAAGTAGCACCACCTTCGTCCGATAGTGACACAACATAAGCCATCAAGGATGTGTTGACACGGGCAGCAGCTTGTCGAATGGTATCGACTCCACTAGCCATAGCTGGAAGTAGATGTGCCAATATCTTTGGGGCAAATGGAAGGACTTCTTCAGGGCAGATGTCTAGGAATTCAACAATCCATCTTAGCGATTCAAGTAAGCTATCCTCTTCTATCTGATGTCAGCTGGTTGAATCAAAAATTTCAATGCGTTATCCTTACCCAATGGAGTGTCCAGATTTGCAGTAAGGATGACAAGAATTTCTTTATGATTTACATGAACATCTTGACCAGGAACCCAGTCGTCATCACTACTGATATCTTTGTCATCTACATCCATACCTGAGTCGTCATCTCCACCTAGATCTGGTGCCGTCGACCCTTCGCTGTCCATAGAACCCGATCGTTTTCGTTTTGTGTCGCTGCGCGACTTTCGGCTTTCTTCTATACCTTTCTTAATGCGTGAAATTCGCTTTATCTCACTAAGAAATCTCTCAATTGCACCTTGAGTAGCCACGTGAACATCACGATTTGGATCACTCAAGAACTTGAACAGCCCACCAAGAAATTCAGGGAGGAAAGAAACAAGTTCTAAATCAGGAATAGAATCTAACAAAGTTATCCATCCCACGAGAAAGGTGCGTGTGAATGGGTTTATCACGTAAATTCGTTCTTTTAATAAAGGTATGAAGCGAGCCAGGGAGAAGGCTGTCGGAAGATCATCGGAATCCTCAAGGGCTTCTTTATTAGAATCGGACATGGAATCATCAGAAGTATGAAGAATCGATACGTAGGTAGCTGCAGATTCAGACACTATGTCCTTTATCAGACGATCCAGAAGCTCCGCACCATTTTTGACGGAAAGTTCTGAGTCCGCTCCTAGCTGTTCGGCCATTAGTCCGAAAACACTTTTGACGGATTCCGGGTTTGACTTGCCTTACATAAAGCGTCGAATATGTCATTAAAATAAGGTAAAACCTCACCCTTTGCCACTTTGGCAATATTGTACATACTTTCGCACGCATAATACCTTACTCGAGCATCTTGATCTGTGAAGCAGGCGAGGACCGGTGGAACAATTTCGTCAAGGTATCTTGCGAGGTCCTGTCAAAAATATCAGCTTGATACATGTAATTCCAACACACCTCTGTATCATACCGGGCCTAATGCAATAGCAGCAGCAGCGAGGCCAATGAGACCGCCATTCCTGGCATGCGGCTGGTGGACAGCGTAAGCATAATCGTTACACAGTTGCTGGATGATCTTTTTGATTTTATCAAACTCCTTGGCTGCTGTAAGATCACGAATGACCCGTTCAAGACTGTAGATATCCGTTAATACATTGTTACATGTAGGGCTCTCATCACACTTACTCTAAGGCGCCGACTTTCCGTTTGTCGTAAAGCTTATCATTCAGAGCACGTTGTATACTTTGATCCATCTTGAGTTACTGGTTAGGTCAAGCGTTCATATTACCTGAGAAGAATTTGCTCCGATGACACCCTCTCTCAATATCTCTTTCTCATATCGCAAGGCAAAAGCAAAGCAGAATGGCGAAGAAAGTGGGTAGATCTGTGGATAGCTAGCTGTAACGGGGATATCACATGAGTGAATGGTGGGTGCACCGTGAGTTGTATTCACGAAGGAGATGAATGCTGAGCAGAAGACTGAATTTACTTCAAGGCGGTGAGGTATCCTAATCTATTATTATCAGTAGTGATGGTTGATGGCTGTATGGGTGTATGTTTGAAGTGTATTGCAAGTGAAGGATTTGTGGTGTGAAGAGATTCGTTGTTTGCTTGAGAGGCTGTGGATGTGGATCTCAAGTTATCGACGAGGCAGGAAAGCTTGATGACGGAGGAGTCTGTGATCTTCAACAGAATAGAAGGCTCTACCCAATCAGAATGTGTGCCTTTAAATAAAGGATAAACAGTATTATTATTATACGACAATCGATCATTTAGGGAATTAATAATAGCAATTAGATTCAATCACGGTATTATTTTACAGATAAAGTTTTTCACTCAAGTTGCGTACCTACATAGACATTCATGGAGACTGGGAGAACCATCAACTCAATATTTGAATTGCTTCATAATTCATGGTATGGTTGTTATCGGATTATGTAAGTGCTAAAATAGGTACTAGGTATTAGGTATATTATACGAAATCAGGGCCCAGTCAAGACGGCCCGAAGCGCATATGTAAATGGTCAAAGCTTACACGTGAGTACCTAGTAGTCAGTACGTAGTAAGTTGACGAGAGTTCAAGTCAACCGCCACAATGTAGAAGGATTCAGATTATATGCAAGAACGAATAGCTGTAGGTAGTATCTGATTGCGTTCCTCTGTTTGGTTGACCCAAAGTCTCGATTGAAAGCAGACATTGAATTATCCATCTCAATCCGTTGCCCTCGTGCGGAGAAGTCAACTTCATCACAGCCGTTAGACTCTCCAGTTTGGTCAAGCTTAGAAGGTGCTGTGGTACATCGGCAAGGATACTCTTGGATATAGGAAAATTGTTGACTTCATTAGGCAGTCTGGGCATGTATGATCATCATAATCATCAAGAGTTGATGTGAACTTCAAGGGGCCAGGCTATGTTGTTTGCCTCTGCATTCCCCATTGTGCTCAAGATTGCGAATCACAACAACTAAACTACTTTAGCATGGATATTGAGATGCTAATTCTCATATATCTTGTCAATTACCCATTCAGCAGCGAATCTAGGATCCCAGCGACGAAACGTGTTTTGAGATGAGGACGATCCGTCGTACGAAGAGAAAACAACCACAGCCAGTACCGTAGGCAAACAATCCGATTCAAAGCATTTAACATAACCCTGAATTGGACCGGGCAATATTGACATTCGCCTTCTAACACCAGCCCCACTTGCTTGTATGACGGGCGCAAAGGGCTTCTGAGGTGCAATATGGGCATCGTTCTCCCCAAGTACCTTGCTCTTGTTCGTATTGTACAGAGATTTGATCTGTCTTCGTATTTTGATTACCGCTCGATGCTTCACTTCCCCCATTCCGACCTTGTATCTCGCCGTCCCGTGCAGATTGAGATTTAGCGTCGCGTTCGCTGTTACTATGACCTGCCCGAGCAGATCTTCTCGCAAATCCTGACTGGACGAACGTTTAGTATTGTGGTTCTAGCGTGGTTTATGAAAGTAAACTTACTCCAGGGTGTGACTTTGCAATACGTGCAGCAGCCTCGGGGGTCATATGGCGGTTTCCCATTCTTGTGTTGAAGTGAGGTGATGAGTTTCCGCGATATACAGTTGGCAATGGGCTGATTTCAAGAGGTGTTCCACAGTGTAATTTAGGTTCGAAAATTGAGAGGTTTGGTCCTAACGAAATGATGGGACATCGAAGTTATATGTAAAATTCGCTCAGCATTGTAGATAGAGTCTTAAAGATTGAACTGGGAGCTTTGTATGAATTTTGAATTGCAATGCAGCGCGTCTCAATACTTCTCATCCGCTTGTCCGTTTACTCTTTGTCGCAGCCTTTAATCATAGGAACATGCCACAACTGGTAACTCTTGCGTGAGCTGATGCTGTAACATATCAGCGACAATCCCATTCGTTAGCTTCCTCTAATGACTTGAACTTGGCATACAACACTTCAGCGGGTGTGTGCGCAGGAAGCAGCTTCACCGTCCCTAATCGTCGCGAATATGGGCGAGAGATCACCAACCATGAGATTAGGTTCCAGTCCATCATGTCGGGCTCATACCCGCCTGCACCCTCAAGCACCTTTCCGTATACTAGGAGAATTCTCAATGACCCGAGTCAATCGTCACTGCATAATCCTGTATTAAAAATTCGGGCCGAGCGTCTGAAATATGGATATGACGATAATCAATCATAAAATGGCCTAATGTAAACGTTCTGGAGGAAAGTGATATCCCGGAAGATTATAATGGAATGGTATTGGACGCTGCGTCTTCAATCGCTTGCAGTATGCAGGGTCCTTCGCGAAACGTTAGACAATGACTGGTTGTGAAATCAGAGACGGGATTCTACAGTTCCAGACGATATATCAATGCATAGAAAAGCGGTGTCAACCCAAAGCTCCATGTGATCAGACGAGTCATATATTGCAGTGAAAAATAATGTATTGTAGCCATTCTGCGACTTATCTAGTGTCCATGAAGAATATCGCCCTTCTCTACTATGCTCTTCTGACATTTAGCTAGGATTGCAGCTTGCCTACCCACTTCTTCCAGCCTACCAATGACATCCTTGTTGCCGTCTACAAACCCGTAGAGCGCATAGGGAATGCCTACTTCATTGCAGAATTCTAACACAAGCTTCTGGGCGCGGCGAAGATTGTGTCTGGGCATCCTAGGAAAAAGGTGATGAATAGCCTGAAACTGAAGACCTCCGTGAAAGAAGTCGAGCCATTGTGGGCAGTCGATATCCATAGTCGTGCGTAGCATCTTCTGTGGAAAGGACTCATGAGGCCCAAGCTCAGACGTGCTCATGGAGAAATGTGAAAGAGTTATTTGAGCATGGACTGGCATAGTGACCATATGACTGATCAAGACAAATGCAATTCGAGCACCATTCGTAGGAATACTTCTGTAGACTACTCCATAACCAAACCAAGTCCAAAAGAAAACCTGGCCGGCAATTTCTAGCCATCGTTGCCACCATGCAGGACCTTTCTTTGGCCCAAGACCCCGGAAAAGATACTCCCAGGACAAGCGGTAGAGATTGAATCGGCCAAAGCAGAGTACTACATAATAATAGTATGATTGGTACGGAAGGAGAAATTTCGCAAATGCGTCATATTCCAAGCATTTTTCATAGTAAGTTGAGGTCAGAGAGCTCAAAAATCTATGGGTAACGGCGAAGAAGGGTATATGCTGAATGTCTGGATCATGCTCGGGAGAGTTTGTCACAATGTGATGAACATTGTGGTTACGTTTCCACCATCCCATTGATAGACCACCAATGAAATCTGCAAGCCCAATGCCGATGAGCGAGTCAATCGTGAAGTTGTGGGTGATACCCATATGGCCTGCATCATGTACCGTGAACACTAATTGATGCCAAAGACAACCAAGAAACAGCCCACTTGTCCCATACCAGCCCCACTTCAAGCACATGAATGCCATAGTGACAAAGAAAGTATATCGGCAGCATTCAATTGCATATGCAGTGTAATTGCAGTCATACAGGCCTTCTGCACGCATCCGTTGATCCAACAGACGGTACTTTTGAACAATTTCTTCTTGAGTATCCGGATCCAAAGAAGGATATTTTGCATGGTCTAGGTCAATTTGTTCTCGAGTTAATGCATCAAAATGAGACATACCGTCGCCCAGGTCAGGCGCAGATGAGATGGAAGAGGCAGAGGATACCGGGCGATCTTCTTGAGCCAACCCTCTTCTGCGTACTTCTGAAAAATCTTCATCGAATGTAGGTGAGGGGAGTCTTGATGTTTCAGAACTCGATTTTTCATCGCAAGTATTATCGTCTTCTTCGGAATCGTCGGACGTGCCTTCGACATAGCTTCGAAACTTTCCGTATTGTATTGGAGGGACAAAATTCTTCCAACGACCTTCTATTTTACCGATTTGATATCTTCCCATAAGGGCTCTAGTTTCTGCTGAGTGTAGACTATAGAGGTTCTATCAGTTTGGATGATTTCGGAAGAGTGATTGTTACTTTACGCACGCGTTCACTTCATCTGTTGCATCCCTTCCTACCATATGCTGAATGGCCTTATCTCCTCCGGGATGGTATTGCAACCAAGCATCTACTTTGAGTACGGCCTGGTCAACGATGATGATGGACCTGCCATCTGCGATGAGACCTTCGACTTGTCTGCGAGATATTATCTTCTCCTTAGAAGCGGCGGCCACGGCCTTCAAGGAAGACATTGTAAAATGATCGTTTCGTGGGACAGATAAGCTGAAGCCGATAGTAAAATAGCAGAAAAACTTCAACGAGTGTATGAAACGCAATCAATCAATTGACGCTCAAAGAATTTCGTGTCGGATGAACATTCGATGACTTTGATTGATGATACTTTGTGAAGAAAGTTAATTGTAAGAAGTCTACTCGTAAGAGTCTAGTATGTATCTTTATTACAAGGGCGTGTCTTTGATGATTGCCGGGTCTGTGCGCAGTGACATTTCCTCACCAAAATAAGCACAAACTCACCTACTTTGGAATTCAATAGCAATTGAAATAAAAATAATATTTGAAAAATCTTTTCAGATTCGAATAATTTTTTATATTAAGATTTATATATAAATTTGATAAAGTAAACTTATTAATATTTATAAAGTTATATTCATTATAAAAATCATTAAGTAAATATTAGTGAGTTCGGTTATTTTGCTTAACAATCATCAAAGACACGCCCTCGTATATTAGTAGTAATCGTTAATAAGAACTTGCGGTGTCTAGTCACTAGTGGTGCCAATCCCTCGAACCAGTGGCGGAGCTTGGATTTTTGACCCCTAATTTTGTGGGAAAGGCTAAATATCGTTGCTCAAGCCCGTTTCGTACTTCTTACCAATTGATGAAGGTTCAATATCAATATCAACTAATAAATCAACAATCTGACAGTTCTATTTACACATACACGTTCGATCGAACTGACACTTTGTGGCATTCTCCCTACTTCAAGATCATCTTGATACTGTTTTGCTAGTCATTTAAGAATATGATTGTACATGAATGATATTGTCAAGGGTCCAAAAGTACTCTATGGAAAGGCAGTTCGATGAGCAGATACCTGGTCACCCCATTTACCCATAAATCTGCAATCAAGTGGGTTGGAGAAGATCTCACCCGTGGGTCAATTACGAATAAACTTATGGCATGAGAATTGATGCAAACAATTCTGATCATCTCCAGCTCATAGCATGAGAGAGCTGGTTCACAGAAAGTCTCGGCGGGATGTTGACAATAGTGAAGGCAACCGCGACGATCTTGAATGTGATTCTACGTTTGCCTCAAGTCTAACGCAGATGCCTCGTCTGCGATAATGGGTTGGCCCCTTGTGCAGTTTTTCTCTTGCTGAGGGTTGAGTCTCCTGCTTGCATGTGCAACCTACCCTTAGTGACACTGAGAGCGACTTCATCGTGACCTTCTGCGATGAGCTGAATTCCTTCATGCTACATCGAATGATTTTAGAAGTTTCTAGAAACAGTACACGTTCGGCTGTACTCTAGTGTATCAGCTAGTACAAGCTACATGTCGATATTGTCACTTTTACGGGTGTAATGTCTTTTTTGGATGTACATGTTATCTACTGCTTGAGCAATCGCTATTCGTTGGAAACATGCAGCAGTCGCCATGATCGTCTCAGTAATACTCAGGCCCAAACACTGCCCCTCGAGATTGTACTGGTGGGTTGGGGTTCAACTCTTCCCGCATTCGTACACCGAGGTGAAGTTTTGCATCCTAAGGCGACCAGGAGCCATTTCTATCTCACATTGAGCTTGAGACCGCCACTACCCCCCTTTCTAGGGACTCTTCTAGGCAAATCCAGCAATCACTGCTTCGCCGAAGACCAATCGCTGTTTCATTCGGAAGTGACATTGCATACGACGATAGGACAAACTATGTTTGCTTGATATCCCCAATCACTGTGTAACTTCAAGTATACCTATCAGAAATCTCCTATTGCCCAAGAAGAGCAGATCCAAACGCCACATAAACTACAATATGGAATTTTCTTCGCTGTTATCTCCTAATATTCCCGGGTGTACATGAGTGTAAGCCTCATTGTGTTGGGCAGAGCCATCGTTTCACAGCGAGGGGGTATTTCTTCCCCCCCCCCCAGTATAAAACACTCGCTGAATATCCATCTCATTCTGTCGAATACAGCAACCTTTCAACAAACGTTATTAAAGCCCTACAAACCTCACAACCCTTTCAAATTTTACACCCTGATCTTTCAAAACATCCCTTTGCCTTCAACAATTGTCACAATGAATCTTACTTGCCTCCGCAAACACAATCCCAATGTTTTCCGTCAATTAGACCCCCACGTCGACCCAATCTACCTCCAAACACCACACCGACCCCAAAATGCGCTCGCACGTTCCCTGATTATCCCACGCACCCATCCTTCCCACAATCCTACTCATATCTACAACGACTGCCAGTCCTGTGAAGACGATCCACGAACTGGCGCTCATTACTGCCGTACTTGTATCGAAGCTCAATATTATTCACTCCAATCTCAATCTTATTCACAATCTCAGATTCAGGATGTGTACTATACTACGTGCGAATGTCCGCATTGTGATAGTGGTTTGAACTCCTATACGAATAGCGCGAGAGGGTGTGCGAGGGGTGATGGAAGATGTTCAAGCATAAATATGGAGCCAGTCGCCCAGCAATTGTAAGTTTGATGATTCATCAAAAGGCCACAACGACAATCGTGCTAACGGACGGCCCACAGACATAATACAGGAAGATACGCCCATCTGTCTCCCAGGCGAAGTGCTTATAGAGACGTCGGATTACTTGGTTCAGGTACATGTTTAGGCGCCGCAGGTGGATTGAGTGGCTTGAGTAATGTAGGTGGCCTCGGAAGTCTGGGTGCTCTTAGTGGTTTTGGGGGAATGAGGGATATGAGAGATGCAAGGCATCACGGCGGAAGATGTGGGTTACAAAATAATCGGCTTGCATATCGGATTTGAGCTTTACCTCCTAATTTGTTGTCGTTTGCGGGTTATACCATTGAGTTTCATTTTTTTTCCAGGTCTGTAATAGAGGCCATGAGAGGAAGCAGAGGAGGTCACAGACAGAAGGGAGTCAGTCGAGCATTGTTCAGAGATTCTAGGGTGTTATAGGTTATCGATGAGTACTGCACACGATTTAAGTAGCCATATCTTACACGAATCACAAATTTCAGTCTCATGCTCATGCTTATAATCGCGCCATTCATTATCAAATCACGCCCCGCCACCTCTAATCTTCTTCTAATAATGGACAGCCTTGCCATAGGTAGCCATAGCAGCCTCTTTAAATGCCTCTGCCAAAGTTGGATGTGCGTGACATGTGCGTCCAATATCCTCACTTGATGCGCCATATTCAATAGCTAATGTAGCTTCTGCAATCATCTCTCCGGCATTTGGTCCGATAATGTGAACACCGAGGATTCTATCAGTCTCAGCATCGGCAAGCATCTTTACCATACCTTCAGTGTCCAAGTTGGTCTTCGCTCTTGAGTTTGCTGAAAATGGGAATGTGCCGGTCTTGTACTTGGTGCCAGCAGCCTTGAGTTCCTGTTCGTTTTGGCCAACCCATGCGACTTCTGGATGAGTGTACATAACAGATGGGATGGCTGCGTAGTTAACGTGTCCGTATCCCTTCTTGATGTACTCAACGACCGCAACGGCCTCTTCCTCGGCCTTGTGGGCAAGCATAGGTCCGAAGGTGCAGTCACCTACAACTCGGATGTGGGGCAGCTTGGTTCGGTATTCCGAGTCGATGACCAATCTTCCCTTGTCGTCAGTCTCGAGACCGATGTTCTCTAAGCCAAGACCTGCAGTGTATGGTCTTCGTCCAATAGCAACGAGTACGACGTCTGCTTCAATCTATAGAGTTTGTTAGCGTGTATATGCAATATTTAGTAGGTTTAGCGTACGGTTTCTTCCTTGCCACCCTTTGCAGCCTCAAGGCTAAGCTTGACCTTCTCACCAGTAACATCGCCACCCATGACCTTAGTGTTGAGCTTGAAGTCCATGCCTTGCTTCTTGAGAATCTTTTGCGATGATTTTGCGATTTCGGCATCCATTCCTGGTCCACCAATTTGAGGTAAGAACTCAACAACTGTAACCTTCGTACCAAGTCTTGACCAGACAGAGCTCATCTCAAGACCGATAATACCTCCACCAATAACAACCATGCTCTCTGGGACCTTCTCTAGCGCGATAGCTCCTGTGCTGGTGATGATTCTCTTCTCGTCAACCTCGAGTCCCGGGAAAGGTGTGGCTTCGCTACCAGTAGCGATGAGGATGTTCTTTCCAATAATAGTCTCTTCTCCACCCTCAGAAAGGTTGACCTTGACCTCGTGCTCGCCAGTAAATGTAGCAGTACCCTTGACATATTTAACATTGTTCTTCTTGAACAAAAATTCAACACCCTTTGTGAGTCCAGCGACCGCAGTGTCTTTCGACTTCATCATTTGTTGCAAGTTGAGCTTGACATCTCCGACTTCGATACCGCGAGCTTTGGTGTCATGTAAAATTTGGTGGTAAAGATGCGAGTTGTTGAGGAGAGCTTTCGAGGGAATGCAGCCGACATTCAAACATGTTCCTCCAAGAGTTCCACGCTTTTCTATACATGTCACCTGCGGACAATGTTAAAAGTCTGCAAAAAAAAATTCCTCCTGTTGGGCAAACCATACTTTCATACCCTCTTGACCAGCTTTGATAGCGGCAACATATCCTGCAACACCACCTCCGATGATAACCAAATCTTGCTCCTCTTCTACATGTCAGTTGTTTTCACCCCGTGACATCGATTGGGTTTACTGACCAGCTTCAGTGGCATATCCTCGTCGCGATAAGTTTTCAATTCCTGAAGGGGCAATTATCTTGGGAAGACTGCTAAGAGAGAAAAAAGTTAGTACAGAAAACTTTCAGCAGGAATTGAAGTCTGGTCATTGTACTTACGAGGATTGTTGTCTGAAAGCAGACCTGACGGTCGCTCTGGGCACTAATAAACTGCGAAGCATTTTGTATGAAGGGTATTGTTGTGTTATTCAACAAGTTTTAGGGTCGCCGCCGTTTGTTTAGTTACCGGACGGAGGAAGCGGATTGATCCGATAATCACGTGGAGATCTTTTAGAACCCTTTTTAGAACCGCGAGTTCCCGGCGCCGCTTGATTGTGTAAGCTAGAAGTCTCCAGGAAGCCCCAAAAAGATAATCGAGGCACTTGTCAGGGTTGCTTCGGCTTAGAAAAGTGCTAATTAATCACTACCTAGGTACTGATATATACATCAAGCAAAGGCAAAATAATTCAGGGAACAATCATATTAATAGGTTCCAGCCCGTGCCTTCTTCACTCACTGCTAGTAGTAGTTATATGAAAGCACGGGCAAAGTACTTCATAACGAATACCATCTTCTAGCTACTAATCCCACATCGCTATCCACTACCTATCTATCTGGGGGTATCTGCATTAAGCAATGCTTGAAGTGCATCTCCAGCAATCTTACAACCCCATTTGACGATATCCTTTTCAGCCTTTCCTCCTGCTATATCCGTCTTGCCTACTACCTTCTTTAGGAAATATTGCAGCCCAGTTATCATCTGAGGCGTTTCCTTCACCCTCGAGAACAGATTTGCAATTGCTTTCGTATCTCGACTCTCTTTCGATGCTTTCTGGGTTTGAAGAATAATAGTGATGAAGAGAACCTCACAGAAAGTTTTCGTCTTAGCTTGTAGATAGCTGAGATTTAGATTCTTGAGAACATTAAGTCCAAGTCCACCTTCTGCAATCAACGTACCAAACATCTTGGCCAGATTGACAATGTGTCTCGTATCCAGCTCAGTATCCTCTTCAAAATCTTCATCATCGTCGTCATTTGTTTCGCCCATTTTCTTGAAAAGATCCCACAAACTGAATTGGAAGGCCATCTTGAGCTTTCTATCACCACATAATCTCTTTGCTATCAATGTGTAGTATGGGTTGTACATTTTTTCTGCGCCGGAACATTGTATCAAGACTTTCGGTATCTCAAGTTCCTGTACCTTTTTTAATTTCAATTTCATCAATCGTAGGTATGCGTCTTGGTAATCTGAGGCGGACATAATGGTAATGAATATAGCTCGGCGAATATCCGTGTTCATACGCTGCTCTCTGGCAAGTTGAACGAGATCAGAGGTCCCTGAATCTACGTCTTTAACTTCTCTAGTGCTTTTGACTTTTGATGTGGACTCTTCCTCGTCTTCAGCATTACCTGCCCAACTCGCACCAACCAACCACCATTTCCCCTTTTTATCCGAATCTCTAATGTCTTTTAAACCAATGCGCAGAGGTTCGCTAGCTTTTATACTTCGAGTATTTAGCGTTCCTAGTGTTTTTTTCATTCGAATCGTATGCTCTGAGGTGACAGCGGAAGCAACAGCACCAGTCTTCATTTTGTTGTTTTTGAGATCATTGATGGTTTCAATCATGAACTTTGTCCTCACGGATAATTTGTCTTCGCCACCAGCTTTTTGGACGGCAGGTCGAAGCATAGTAACAATATCTTTTAGTGCTGAAGGGTCGTCTTGTCGTAGTTGAGGACCGGAGATGCGCACAATCTTTAACAGAAGCTCGGCATTCTGTTCCGATAGTGTATCTAAGAACAGCTTGATGTAATCGAAAATGAGGCTGCTACCCACTACTTGAAAGTTGTACAATTCTGAAAGTAAAGCTATCAGGTTGGTAGTTTCTTTGCTATCGGGAAGGGATGTCGAGGATTCTTGATTTAGTGATACTATACGCGCATAGTGTTCGTCAAACAGTTCAACTATTCTTTGAACTACCTGAGCACCGAAATCGGTACCAATAATCTTGTATACTGAGGCAATAAATCCGGCGGGAAGGATTATAAGCGTGTCGGGCAGAGTCGTTGGTTCGCAAACAGATGTCAGGAGCAGATCGATGAGGGTGGAAGTCATGTGTTGACGGGGATTGGCCCGATACAATTTTTCTATGTCTCCAAGGAGGGATATTAGATTGGCTTCTGTCAACCTATTGACTAGACCTTGAGTTTGTCGCCGCAGACGCACTAAATCTTCAGAATCTGAAGATGCTTTTCGCAATGAAGGTGGGATATATTTTCCAGAGGATGCTGTAGTTGCAGAAACAGGTGCCACGTAAGGGTTTTCACGGACTTTTGGCTTCGGGAGAGAATCTTCATCACTCCCCGAACCAAAACCTTCGAAGTCGTCCTCAGCCGTATCCTCATCTCCAAGAACACTATCGTCGTCACCTGAATCGCCGCCCGAGAAATCGCCTTCATCCATTGACATATCAGACGCTTCATCGTCATCATCGTCCATCATCTCGTCGTCTTCATCCTCCTCTTCGTCCTTGGAACTCTCGTTACCCCTTGCTCGCTTTCGGGCTTCTGCTCTCTTGCGCTGAAGCCAATCATTTGCCTCCGCTTTTCCTTTTTTCTTTTCCTGTACTTCCTCATCTTCGCTCTCATCTAGGGCATCCAGATCACCCAGAAGATCATCTAACCCATCCTCTTGGAATGATTTTGGTAGACCTTTCTTCTTCCCTTTCAATCCCAATTTCTTCTCCAGAGCGGCAATCTCATCGTCGTCTTCAGCCAATTTATCCTTGACAGCCCTCGAAATGTTCTTTCCTATCCTTGATTCGGTGTTCGCATCGTCCTTAAGGGATGCCTTCGCTGGTTTAGGGTCTGCTTTCTTCGTCGTTTTCAATATGGATTTCGGTTTTGGGCTATCGTCCTGTTTTATTTCTGGAACAATCTTCGCGTTCAACGGTTCAATATCTTCATCTTCCTCGTCATCACTGTCCCCGTGATTACGCTTAGGATGTTGTGACTTCAATCGCTTTTGCGGAGGAGGCCTTGAGGACTGGGATCTACTCTGCTTCTTCTCTTGTCTTTCTGCTTTGCGCATCTCTTTACGCCCAAGACGTTTGCGCCCTCGACCTCCATTTCCACCACCATCTACAGAAGATTGTAAGCATATGATAACGAGTTGTCAACGGCTAGTATTCACCTTCGATTCCCAGTTGCTGAAGAAGACTACTGGGTAGCTTTGGAGCTGTAGATTTTGGCGGTGCCATGTTTGTGAAATACTGTAACAAACAACGAACTCTATTTGAATCACTAATTAATGCTACAACCCCCAAGTAGATAACTGCAGCTTAATTATAAATACAATAAGTTTTGCTTTAAAAGGCAAAAAATGTCCGATAATCTTCAGATACCGATAAGAAATTTTGAGGTTTATCCAAACTTTTTTTTCCTGCCGTAGCCTTGACGAAAACCTTCAGCCTCGCTTTAGCCTGGTCCAGAACCCCACACATTTCATCACCCCCACAATCATTAACCGCAGCTTAAAAACAGCATCATAACAGCACTTTACACTATGGAGTCGCATTTAAGTAACGACGAGGTATGTTTCTATCACTACTCATATAGCCTTGGACAATTAGTAATTCTTTTGCGCAAATAGTTCTTCTCGAAACTCGCTCCTCTTTTCGATACTCGAAGGGAAAAAGATCATGGTTCTGTTTTCTTAACACAGAAATGTTGTAAGTATTTCAATACCCATATGCTCCTGCAACGGAGGAGGCTTTCCGAACTTCTATGGACAGATTTTTAACTGCCATAATAGATAGCTATGACTCGGCCTCCGATGCTTCCACAACCGCGGCGTTACCTCCCGGCGACGATGTCAATATGAATGCTCTCAACGACGTCCTCACTGCTCAATTCCCAGACCTTTCACGCGACGCCCCTATGCCACTTCTCATTCGCGCTACAGATGGTAAAGGTAGACCTAAACGTTCAGAAAAGACAAAACTGTCTACGGTCGTCCAGCCAGATCAATTAGATTCCTTCTTCGCTAGATATGCAGAAATATGTAAAGGTGGCATGAGTGCGCTGAAGAAAAGAGATAGGAGCAAAGCAAAGGAGAAGCTTAAGGCAAAGAAAAGAAAGATAGGCACCACTTCTGCTGTTGCTCCAGGAGACGAGAAGAAGTGAGAGAATTGAAGCCATTCTATGATGGACGAGTAAAATGTCCCGAATTGGACGTCGATATCCCCGGAGAAGTAGCTGAAAGGCATGATTAAGGGGGTGGATATTTCGTTGTTGATATCACAGCATGGCGTCGCACATATGGGATTGCTCCTTTGGCTTTCGTGGATTGGTACAGAAGAGTACATATTAATCTAATGTCAAAAGGGCATGTGAAGCGTTTTCCAAGCTGTCAAGCTTCTATTGTCAAGGACCCATTTATTTAATATTTGGCCATCCTCTTACATACATCTTTCTGCTGGAATCACGACTACCTATCACATCTTATATTCTGGAATTGTCTTTTACGTGTTATATGTTCATTAATGGATATACAGGTAATGATATCCCTCCCTCGGCCTGTGAATATTTACAAATCAGACCACCAGCACACATCCCATTCCACATATGAACAAGCTCATTGACTTCTCGGCCGCCCCTTGCCACGCCCACCACTTTCTACTCATGAGCTAACAGACCATCTACTAATCCATTTGTATAAGAAATCTTCTTATAGTACAAATCCATCCCAATCTATGTCAACGTCACAAAGTCCATGTCTATGTGAGACCACTCACTTGCTACCAAATTCTATGGTCGAAAGAGAAAGAAACACTCGAAAATCTCCATGCCTAGGAAAAACAAAGGAGAAAAAAAAAGAAACGAAAGAAGAAGATAGTAACAGGCAGAAGAAAAGAAGGGTATCTATATCAGGTTATAAATGTAGCAAAGACACAGAAGTTGACCTGAACTCTGGAACGTATAGATATAGGTCTATTTGTAAGTATGTCGTAAGTACATATTGCCGGTTAATAATAGTAATCCTCTAAGGAGGAGTAGCGATACGCGAAATAGGAAGAGAAGCATTAGCAGATGTATTGCCTGTTACAGCAGAAGCCGGAGTTGAGGTTGAGGTTGCCATGAAATTGTTAGGAGGGGCATGCTGAGCAATATGAGCTTCTGAGAGAGTGGGACTGGGCAAATAATGTGGTTGGGGAGTAAACAGATCGACCGTCATTTGAGCAACCTGTGCGACCGGGCCTACGGATTGCATATCCGTATCATGAGCTGATGCAAACTCATCGTTTGTCTCCTTTAAAGGAGAAATTGTCAAACTATCCGCATATTGGGGCAAGTCATTGTGAGTCAAAAAGGTTGCATCATGACTGTGATGCAAGCCAACTGAAAAGACAAACTGATTCTATTCAGAGGTTGTTAGTTTATTCCTCTTCATATACGGGTCATGTTAACGTACCTCAGATGTGTCTAAATTATCGGACCTTACTCCTTCACCGCCGTCGCCAGTATTGAATTCACCATGTGATCTCTCGTGATCAAATTCAATGGAGGACTGGAGATGATCTTGATATCCCATTGTGGAGCTCTCTACTTGTTGCGGGTTCACTTCGTAATCTGCCATGGTACCGTATTGGTGAAGGGGTGCCCGATCTGTGAATAGAGGCATGCCATGGCATTGTCCTGCATAGGGGTCGTCGTCAACATCCATGCCGTAGCTAGGTAAGCTAGGGTCTCCATTCTGTTCAGCGGATTGCCAAGAATAGTTGTTGTATGAGGATCCTGGAATGTCGGGACGAAACTCTCCTTGCTGATATGCGTTATTGGCTTCCATGAAAGACGAGATTAGATTCGTTTGGCCCTCTTCTTTGATTGCTGCCAATTTCTTCTTCTTGCCGCCTCCAGGCGGTCTACCTCTTCTAGGCTTGGAAATGCCTCCTCCAGCAACAGCAGTAGCAGTTATGCGACGCTTCTTCTTAACAGGGCATTCAGGTACATCTTCGACAGCTTTATTCTTGCCCTTGCGTGCGCATCCCGTTCCGTCACATGATTCACAATCCCTAACTCCATCACTGCTCGCACCACAAAACCAACAGTTTCCAGCGTGTTCAGCTCTTCTTCGTCGTCCTTCTGGACTACAATTCTCTAGACCCTCAACCACAAATGCGTTATCGATAGGTGGTCTTCTAGCTTCGTAATCGTCTCCTTCAAGCCCGTCACTCATGGCTTGACATCTCCAGCATGTACCCTGAAGCAACCACCGTTGATCTCTAACTCTGGAACCATGTACAAGACATAGATCTTCGGGACACTTCTCTAGCGGCCATCCATCGGGACAGCTACTATCAAGTTTGGAGACTTCGACGTAGGTTCGGTCGCAGCAGGCGTATCGAAAAGGGCGTATGAGACACATAACTATGTGTGAGCTGTAGGGATGAAGTATAATATCTGAAGTTGTATGAGTGTGATTGTGGTTGCGAGTCTCGTTATGTCTCTATTAATAATGTGTTATTGTTCTTGAAGGAGAACAAAAAGTTAATTTCGGGATTTGGTATTAGTTGTACATTCACGATTAAAAGAGATCAAGGGGGGAGACTTCAAGAACTATATAATATGACCAAGATCAAAGTCATTTTTGATAGAGTGAATAATCAGACATGATACAGGAGATGATTAATGATTCACGACCATCTTCAAATATGAATTTGAAGGACTCATGTGATTGTGTTATTCTCGAGTATTTGTGATTGTTCATCAAGAACAACAAGTTGACAATCTTGTCTATTTAGCATTGCTTGGTTGGCATACACTTTATGACGTTATTTTATGGCATTCACACTCACTCATACATGGAAAGAGGTTTATCTCAAAAATAGACTTGTATTGCTATGAGTATCAGGCGTCTAATGACATTGTACTTGCTATTAGATCCATTCTGTGAGAAGACTTTTGAATGAAAGAAAACATAGAAAGCAATGCGCATGAATATTCACCTCCAGACTCGCAACGAAATAGTAGAGCAATTCCATGCTGGATGAATCCTTTGATTCATTCATGCAGAGAGAATTCTCAGCCTCCGATGACTTTTTGGGTGTTAGATCTTTGAGTACACATAAGAAAATCGAGCTTGATAAAAGAAAAGTGTGTTGTAACATGGGCGAAAGGTGTCGTAAGGTGTGGGACCAGTTCGTGTGCTTAGATCCGAGCTCACATGATTTGATCTTGTGTGAGGTGAGTGACTTCTGTCTCCATAGCATCACCGGCACCACCAGGGATTTGGTACTTGACGAAGCTCAAGCCGAGAGGACGGCCTCCATATTGGTAGCCAGAGAATTTTTCGATGGCGGTATCGGCATTCTCGGCCGAGTCAAATCTAACAACGCCAGTACCACGGGATCGGCCATTAGGCTCGTATTGGATCTCAGCCTGTTCGACCTTGCCAATGGTGGTAAACAGCTCGACAAGATCTTCGTTGCTAGTGGACCATGGAAGCTAGATTTTACATTAGTTTGTAAAACGATGAGAGGAGCCAAATAATACTTACGTTGCGAACATAGATAATCTCACTTCTCTCAGTTCCAGCGGTAGCGTGGTCGGTGAAAGGGTTAGGTGCAGCTGCGGGAGCTCCAGCACCACCATCGAATCCACCGGCACCTCCGGCGTAACCTCCGCCAAATCCACCACGACCTCCACCAAATCCTCCGCCAAATCCGCCACGGCCACCTCCGAAGCCTCCACGGCCTCCAAATCCGCCACCGAAACCTCCACGACCGCCAAATCCTCCACGAGCACCACCAAATCCTTGAGCACCTGCGAAGCGATCTTCGCGGACCTCAAGAGGGCGACCTTGCCAGTCATAACCATTGAACTGCTGAATGGCATTGCGAGCGTCATCAGGAGATTCGAAGGCAACAATACCGGAGCCCTTTGGACGTCCATCAGGACCAACATGAACGTCGGCGCGGACAACGGCACCATTTCGGGCTATGCAGTATTGATCAACATATTGACCATATTTGTGTTGGTGCAGGGGGAAACATACCAGCGCCGCGGAATAGATCCTTCAGATCTTGCCATCCAACGGTATAGGGAAGCTAAATCGCAAAGTTAATATTCTAAGCACTATAGGTATGAAAAGGGGAAAGATAGATGGGGACAAACGTTGGAGACGTAAATTTGACGTCCTCCACCTCCAGCTCCACCTCCAGGGGCCATGCCACCTCCGAAACCACCTTGGAAACCACCACGACCTCCTGGTGGACCGCCGCCTTCGTAACCACCACGGCCTCCAGATGGAGTACCAGTGAATCGGGGTTCCGCCTCACGATCCTATTACAAAAATTAATAAATGTTAAATGCACAATTGAAACGGCATAGAATGCATGCTTACCTCTCTAACGTAAACGAGTCTTCCCATAAGGTTCTGGTTGGACAGAGTGTTGACTGCCTGTTGAGCTTGCTCCCTCGTAGCATATTCTACAATGCTATTTCGAGTTAGCATTTCAGATCATCCAAGTTAAGGTTGTTACTTACCCGCATCCCTACAATACCCGCGGAACAACGTCCCAATCCGTCAATCCAACATTCCATCAAAATCCAAGAGAAAAAGAAAAGATTCAAAGCCAATCACGTATAGGCGCCCACCTTCGACATTCCATTAGGAAGCAATAACACATCAGCAAAGAGGACCTCTCCAGCTAAAGAAATCGAACCCCTGGTTAGCCCATATCCCCAACTCCAACCTCCATTATCGAACACTGACCAGATCTCATAAAGTCTTTAAGATGATGCCACTTAACATCGTATGATAAGTTGCCGACGTAGACACGACGGTCTTGTTGCGATGATTCACGTAGAGTGCTCATCATTTGCTCTCTGGCCGCAGCTCTCTCTTCGTATGTCCTATGTGGTTGTCCACCGTAAGCTGACCCTCCAGAACCACCTACACCTGCAGCACCCGACATTGGGGATCGAGATCTGCGATCGTTTCTGCGATGTTCGTCACGGCTGCGTGAGCGACTGCGAGGAGAATATGAACGACGACGTTGGGTGCGTCCTGGACTGCGAGAGCGTTGTCGACGAGGTGAACGAGATCTCTCTCTCTGTGAAACGTAAGCTTCTTTGACCATTAGATAGACAAAAGACAATGAAGGAATCTGTGTTGTGCGAGAACTTTTGTGTGTGTGGGTTAGACCATCAAGGTTCTTACGCCATTAATTAGGAAAGGTTCCCACAGAAGCGCACTGGCGCGTTGCGATCAACGGGATCTTACGACTAGTTTGCGCCTGGAAATGAGATGCCATAAGCCGAAGACTCATAAAGCTTTCGGGAGTGCCTTATGTTGCTGACGCCCAGGTTTGCGCAATGTTATACTGGAGTGATTATTGAGGAAGTAGAAGAAATTGAACATACTTGTGGTCGATAAGAGTCGTCCGCTAGATCAGATAATAGATTGTTAATAAAATGTTCTAAAGGAAGCAAGATTGAGGTGGGGTGGTTTGTGTAAAGGTTAAGGAAGAATCGAAGGTCAGAAGGGTTCAATGACGTGAATAAAACAAGACCAAATAGAGTGAATAAGAAAGAAGGTGAATGGACGAATTGGGAATGGAGGGGAGGGTATTGGGAAACATACCCATTGTATCTATTGTGAGTGAAGTATTAAGGTGATAAGTAGAATCAGGAGGCTGCTGCTGCTTAATGCTCTAACCTGCAGGTTGGAGACGAAATGGACTCCTAAGTGACTGCGCACAAGGATTCTATGGATTAAGTAAGGGCGAATTAAACGTTGCGTTTAATTGATCGAAATCGGCAAATAAGTTGAACCAGTGAAGCTCCGTGAAGAATATTCGATGCGGCTTATAGGGACCCGTAAGGAAGAAGAACTTCAACAAGGGCAGTATGGCACAGCGTCTGTTTTTTTTCCTGCGGCAATGTTCGTCAACAAGGGCGTTACCAAAAAAAGATGGTGGATGAATGTCAAGGGTTGGATCTGCCTATTTGGAACGCGTCCTGTCTGCGGTGACAAAGCTCGAATCGAAGAATAGCTGATGAATGGATTGGGAGGACAAGACTTGAGGATGTCTTGGGGGGTGGGTTGGGAATGAATGACATCTGAGCCATAAGTGAGAGCTTACCTGGTTGTTGCTTTGACCAATGGTTGGGTTAGAAAGGATGAGATACAGAAAATTTGATTTAAATTTCTATATTTTCCTTACCCGACTAGATGGCTCACAAGGGTGTACTACTCCTTGAGGTAATACAGATGAGAGATGGTGTGGTTCAAATCTGTATGGATGGGGGTGTGTTGGGTGGTGGGTGGTGGATGTTGTGATGATGGGTGTAAGGTGTAAGGTGTGAGTGCCTATTGAAGACGCGATGTAATGAGGAGTTGGAGAAAAATAGCTAGGTAGCGCGCAGGAACTGTTACCTTTTCGGTTGATAACCGGCAATCGCCTCTCTATCAATTTCTGGCTTCAGCTGAGACAAAATCCATTAATCATCACTCTTAAATGGGAAATAATAGCCCAATGCGGTAATTGAGAGGTGCGACTCTAGTAATTAGATAGCGATAATTATCACAAATGATTATATGTATCTATTTCTATTTCTAAACCTACCTCGAGCCTACTATCTAAAGTGAACTAAATCGTTCACCGAAACATTTTCTTACATTGCACCGTACATTCCCTTACCTATCCTCCCATACATACATAATGTTGTTGTTGACTGTATCTTACACTCATCTTCATCCTCTGTTGGCCAATTCTTTCTAGATATTGCAGCATACGAAGACATATTGGCACACGCTCATTCATTGATTGCACTTGGGCGTATTTTTATAGTACAGCGGACTTTCAGGTACGATACCATTGGATTCGCTGTTTGGCAAATTCAAAAAGAGAGGTCGACGCATGGAGTATAATCATGCGAACCACTTGTTCTCCACGCCTTCAATATCTATCTAGGTATCTTTGGTTACGGATCGTATCATTATGGGCCCCTCCACTCCTCCAGCGTCTAGCGAAATTTCCGGACTACAACGCGGAACCATGGGCTCCATCATTATGCTCCTGGAGTCAACATGAATTATATGTGCTTTTTGGTCACTCTCATTGTACGGCGCGAGTAGTCATGTATATATGATACAATGGACCCATAACTTACTCCTCTCAACTCACTGTCTCAATTGGGCACATTAGTTGTTTCTATTATTCAGACTGATAACCATCGCATGCTACTCAACTTGGTTCAGGTTAAAGAATCTCTAGGATCACCTCGCCTGGATTCATTTTACCTAATGGACATTACAGATCTTGAAGTTCAACAATCTTCTACAAAAACTCCCATTTCTCTAATAGGCACCGTACATACAGACCCCCGCACAATTCACAAAAATAGTTTAGTCTACGAACTCCGGAGGAGATTGGCTCGATCAAGTCTGGTTCAAATTCATCGAATAAGGAAGCTCAAACCTCCTTTCAGATCGAGCAAACCAATGAAGTCTTTTGAACTGGGAGTAGGTATCTACCAATAGTTCCTTTTCATTAGATCTACACCTGGGATCTCTCTCACATTATGTGCGATCTCAGTCCTTCTTATCCAATTGAACAAAGCCAAAGAAATGGAAACGCAAATGCAATATTGCCAGGAGCTGTGACTCTCGGCGAACTTCTTCATGAAACACGCTTCAATATATCAATTAACATATGAGCAAGGTGAACGAAAACATGTCCTACCCACTTGTTGGGGGGTTTGAGCAATCCAATGCATGCTTATCACCACTATGGAAGAAACGTTGAATCGGAGGGCCTAAACGCCAATGATATGGTAATTCCCAAAAATTGATGACCTGCAGCTGAAATTTGCAACAATACCTGGGCTTGACTGGCTTGCCGGACGGAAGCTCTTCCCCGTAGCACGACAGAATCAAGTTGATATGTCCACGAGACGATGCCTCAACCACGAAGTGTTATTTCCAAGCCCAATTTCAGCTTTTCTGGCCTGAAAGAACACGATTTGAATATAGAGATAAGTCCATTTCCCCTGATATGTACAATTATATGTACACATGTGCCCGTTCGTATCTTGCAGAATAAGACCAAAAGTTTCATGCAATACGATGTTGCCGTTGCATCCCTAGGGGAAGGCCCACATTGCATGCCGCAATGTGTTTTCGACCAAGTCTATCCACATCGAATGGGACATCGCGCAGATAATGAACATTTCATACCAGGGGTAACGAAAAGTGTGACGAGAAAGACACCAGCAAAAACATGACATACATGCTGTGAGAGGTAAGTAACATTTCTTACTGCATATAGAAAAGTGGATCAAAGGTAACCTTACAAGGGCATTGAACCAAAAAAGGAGACCAATACGAAAAGAACGGCGAACTTGACCAACAATTGCTTCATCCGCTTATGGGTGACGGCCAAAGTTCTTCATTAACGAGGCTCTGCGGTTGAAATAGCAAAAGGGAAGCTTACCTCGATCTTACTCTACGTAGAGCTCGCAAAAAAAAAAACGAGCCTAACGGGATATCCCGCGGGATGGGCAACTATTGGCCCAAGCTGAACCTTGAATTAGAAAATCTTCTACTACTAACACCACCAAAATTTATCCTCACAAACCACCTCCCAAACATGTCGTCTCCCGCGATTAGACTACTACCCCGCCATCTACGGCCTCTCATCAAACAATACAATCGCGCAATTCCAAATTCTCTCTCCGCAAAATCCTATCATTCATACGACCGCCCCTCTCCTTCAGATTCTCCTTTTCCACCCACCGAAACAAGCATTCTCCGCGCCTCCCTTCCGCACATCCCTACTCACGGCTTCACTCTTAATACCCTTTCACTCGGCGCCCAAGATGTCGGTTATATACCTGCCGCCACAAATCTTTTTCCCAAAGGGGCGTTTAGTCTAGCACATTACCATTTGTACACCCAAAGAACAGCTTTGAAGAATCACACAGAACTCATTGCTCCACCTATAGAAAATGAAGGAAGGGAACCACCGAAGGGAGTGGGAAGGAGAGTCAAGGCATTGACATGGGAGAGATTGATGGGAAACAAAGATGTAATTCATAAATGGCAGGAGGTTCGTAAATTCTAGCTTGAACGTTTATTGTTACATTCCATAAGAAACGAAAAACTACATCCAAAATACCTTCACAATTACCCTCTTCTAAATCAGATTCAAAACTCCACATATATCGACACCCCAACTAACACCCTTCCCAGGCTCAAAGTCTCCTCACTCTACCAACCAATCTCCCCACTTCTCTCCGCGAACTACATTCCCTCTCCGATGAGATCTGGTTTCTGTCCGGCGACATCTCAGTTGACAGTTCCTGGTATACCAAGCGAGCCAGTCTTTCCACTATTTACGCTGCCACCGAATTATACATGACGACAGATAAATCCGAGGGCTTTAAAGATACTCGCGAGTTCTTGGAGAGAAGATTTAGGGATTCACAAGTGCTTGGAGGAGTTGCTGGGGGGATTAGTCAATGGGTGGGTTTCACAGCGATGGCGGGAGTTAATGTTTTGAGGAGTAAGGGGGTGAGAATTTAGTGGATGATTTGTATGAGATAGACGAATGGACTTTGATATTCATGTAGCATGAAGGGAATGGAAGGAGGGAACAGAAAGATCAACAAAAGGTCATGTATTCATATTCATGTTATTTAACATCAAAATTGCCACCCATAGCAGCCACATGGGCAATACCATACCTGGACTCGAGGACCAGTGAACACCATAACTCCATATCTTCGTAAGACATATCACCAAATATTCCCCCACTGTGATTATACAAGTCCCCAACGCCCCTCAAAAGTCAAGTAAATTACAATAAAATTCGGCTAAGCGGGATTTATCGCTTCGGGAATAGATTTCTGTAACCTGTCTCTCGGAGCTGCAAGTCTGTTATATGTTAGCAGGAAGATGTGGGAATTAGACTAGCGATTGAGGGACTTACTTGTAGATTTTCACATCAGGATTTTTGTCAATACCAGCTCCCAAGGCTTTGGGTGTGATCAAGATAAATTGTCTGCCAACGGCGCGTCGAGCAGCGCTGATCTATCGACCCATTAGCATATCAGAAATTCGTGAGTAGAGCTTATTGTAACTTACGATCATTTTAGTGCTCACATCCCGATTAACATCATCCATGAAAACGTCGAACTCATCCAAACAGCGAAGAGGGGCACCCATAGCTTCCCAGAGAGAGAGAAGTAGACAGATAGACGAAAACGATTTTTCTCCTCCCGAAAGTGTCTTGGTTTGTCGACCCTTCTTGTTATTACTTGTCTCGTCAGGCTCGACATGGACATCCAGTAATCTGTTCTTGTGATCAATCTCAAGTTTTCCCCTGAAGGCTCTCTCACTCAGCAGATAATTGAAGTTGATACGAGATCTGGCAGAAATGTGTCTCTGGAAACTGCGGTACTGCTTCATGCGCAGAGAGAAAGAATACTTAAGCAGACGAAGCAATTCTTCCATGTGTTTACGGCGTGATTTGAAGCTCTTCAAGAGCTCATGAGCCTTTGCATAGCCATCAATAATTTCTTGCTCTGTGACCCCAAGCTTTCTGCTATACTGACTTAATTGATCCGTAATACTCTTGTACTTCGCTTCAAGACTAGCTCTGGTCTCCTGTGGCGGTACTGGAATTCTGGCACATATCTGCGTTGCTGCTTCAATGTATTCTTTTACTCGAGTTTCCGTATCTGCGAGCTTGGTTTCGGCTTCTCGTTTGTAATCCTTATAGACCCCAACTTGCGCAATAGCAGCATTCTTTTCCCCGAGTGCTATAGCGCGTGCCTGTTCTTTAGCTTTGACCTTTTGATTTGCGTCGGCAATCAATTTCTCATGACTTTCAACACGTTTCTTGGCGGCTCTATAGGCGTTTTTACAGCCAAGAGACGTTGTATTGTACTCAGTCCTTGCAAGAGTAGTAGCGCCATAAGCATTTTCGTAATGCGTAACATTGTCATTTGCCTCCTCCAATTGTGCTTTTAGGGAATCCAGATAGCCATCCTCAATGTTAAGGTTGCTGTATTCATTTTCTAATGATTCAACACGTTCTTCGGCCTTTTGTAAGCGAATCTTCAATCTGCCTTGGGCGACCTTGTGCTGTTGGATTGCCCTATCTGCCTCTTGAACACGCTGTTGAGCTGTACGGCAACTGTTTGCAAGTCTCGACTCTTCAGCTTGACACTGTTTCAATGTTTCCTGTTGCAAGAAAATCCGGCGCTCACCATCTGTATTCATGCGAGCTTTGAACCGGTAGGGTGGCACATAGTCCTGAGCACTATTTTGATGGTTAGGGCCATTGCAATACAGGCGAATTCCCCAGCCTCTTCTTTGTGGATTGAGAGTGAAGCAATGTCTGACATGCGCAGGCATAGACCTAGGCTCCATGATGCGCATTGCTTCTTCTAAGTCATCTATCAGTAATACCTGATCTATTGCTTGGTTTATGATCAATGTATTCCTCACAATTTCACTATCAATATCCAACATTCTTAAAATGGTCATGAAGTGCTGATCCGGCTCGTTGTTTGCGGTGTCAATGGGTTTGGGATTCGTGATGTAAATCTGAGTTCGAAGTATACCCATTGAGGAGATCATTTTCTGAAGCCTGTTCTGGTCTGCTTTGTTGGTAACGGCAAAACTATTCAAGGCGTTACCAAAAGTCACCTCGAGAATATCGGACCACTTAGGATCGCGGAGTTTCACGTGGAGACCAATAGGACCAACAGGTTTTTGGAGGAATCCTTGATCTTGCTCTATTCTCCGAAGTAGCTCAGGCATTTTCTGGTCAAAAATGCGTATTCGATCTGGGCGTTCGTTCTGTATTTCTCTTAGTCTGTTCCTACAGCTCTCCACTTCCTTTCTCTTCGCAGCCAAGGGCCCTTGCTCTCTTTCAAGTGCAGTTTTAGCAGATTGACTCCTTTCTACCAATTCTTGCATTTCTCCATGACTCCTCTCAAATTCGGCTCTAGCCTGCGAAGCTTCCGTCTTGGCAGATTCGATCTCTGTGAATTTTCGATTGAGAGATCCACCATTGGCATCCTCAATACGCTTCTGCTCGGCATCGATTTCCCCTTGTATGGTTCGAGCTTTTTGCTTTGCTGTTTCGAGTTCCAGCTTACTCTCCTTGTGTTCCTGGTGGAGCTTTTTAACCTCCGAGTCTGCCTCCTCAGCCTTCGACTTGGCTTCTTGCTCTTCGTCTTTGATAGGGACAAGCTCTTCTCCAAGAATTCTTGCCTTTTCAGAAGCTCGCTCAACTGAAGCATCGAGTGTCTGATAGGCTCGGTCTTTCTCATCTACGATCTTCTCCTTTTCCTCAATCTTCCGTTGTGTTTCCACCACTGTCCTTTTGCGCTCCTCCAGTTCGCTTTCTTGCTCGTCAACTTGAAACCATGTCAACTGGTTTCTGAGAACTCTCTTCTCGACTCTCATGTCTTGATGCTGATCATAAATTTTCTTCTTTGCCTCTGCATCCTCGGCCTGTTTTTCCAGTGCCTCGAGATCACCCATGCTTTCATTAAGAAGAACTTCGATCTGATCACAACTCTCTGAAACAAGCTTGTAATCATTGTCAAGTTGTTCGAGTTGTACGCCCTTCCTGAAAAAGTCGAACTTCTGGGCCGGGGTAGAAGATGTAATGAAGGTTTTCGCCTCATCTTGAGTAAGAACATTCATTGGGTTGTCAACTTGAAGCTGAAAATACTCCACTATATCATCCATGTCACCCTTCTTACTAGTCACAACGCCACCGGCTGCGTTCTTCACTCTATAAGTGCTACCACTGGCCGAGAAATGACGTTCAATAATAATCGACTTTCCGTATAATTCTGGCCGATAGGCGTCGGAACCTTCATTTTTCAATCTGACAAGAAGCATTCCCCGATCGGTTCCTGTCTTGATTAAGCTTTTCATACTGCTTCCACGATTCGTCGCACTAGGCTTTCCTCCTAGACAGAGTGTGATGCCCGTCAAAACTGCACTCTTTCCAGCTCCATTTTCCCCGACGACGAAATTGATAAGCGGACCTAAGGGAACTTTAAGGTTTTTGTGGTTCATGAAGTTCACACATTGAATTTCCTCGATAATAGAATTCTCGGCGGCGCGATTGGTGAGAGGGGTTTGTTTTTTGGCAAGAAGTTGTTGAGTAGCGATATAATCATCGTGTTCCGCGTGTTCCAAATGTTTGAAACCAGCATCGCGAATGATTTCGTACTGAGTTCCGGGGGGAGCTGTCATTTCTTCATCGCCATCATCGACATCATTACTCTCGTTATCATCGCTGGCCTCGTCTGAAGAACTGGAGGGGCGGTCGTCGCGGACTTGCAATGATCTCGAGGAAGATCCACCATTAGAGATTTTGGCGCGTTTGCGTTGCTAAGATAAAATGTCAGCATCTGTGTGCATTGATAGTAATTCTGGAGGTATGGCAGAAGGTGGAGGACATCTGCTAATATCCAAGGGCGCAAAAGAGGTGTTCAAAAGTTACGCACATTATCATGACGCAAGGCCGATCTTGCGCTCTCAGTTGCAATAACATCCCCCTCATCGTGTCTTGCACGCTTTAGAGGAGCCATGTGGCGATTTGGTTGCTCTGATAAAAGTCAGAGTCGAGTTGTAAAATAAATAAATCAAGTTCAGCCATCCGACGCGTTGAAGATAAGTTACAAACACGCGAGAGCACCTGATAAGCTTCAAATCGCGCCAGTGAATTGAGCTTTCCCAATCAGCATACCTTGCTTGAATTGCCGTTAAATGAACAATCCGGCCAAACTCAATGTACAAATTCAATCAATTCTTCCAGATATTTTGAAGCTTGATTTGATTCAATGTGGATATATCTAGTTATTTCGAGGTTCAAGAGATAAGAAATATTTGGAATTTAATTGGTCCTCAAGTCAAGTAACCGATTTCCCTACTACGTGCACGTCCCTGCTATATGCACGATCTTGATCACCCATTTTGAATCACTTTAAAAATTAATAACAATTCCAATTTATAAGATAAAGAGCTAGCAATTTAATTGATAAATGACAAGATATAATACTATCTAAAAGCATAATAAAATCTTTAGATTTTGAATTTCGATGGAACTCGTAGTGCTCGCCCTCTACTAGATCGCAATATGACCTCCTCCTCCTTCTCCTTCGAATTATTAGCCTCTACAGCATCAGAGAGCTCTATAGTCTTTGTTGATGTTAGATCTATAGTAGAAGAAGCTTTGGGGAACTTTTTATCTCTTTTGATTGGAGATTTCGTTGATTTTAGAGTCTTTTTAACCTCCTCTTTCGCATCACGTGCAATCTGACGATCAACCTCCCTCTGCAATACTCTCTCTTTCGTCTCAATCTCCTTCCGTTCCTTCTCAGCTTTCTTTTCAGCTTTTATTTGAAGCTTAGCTTCCTTCTCTTGCTCCTCTTTAAGTGCTTTATCTTCTTGATACGCTCTAGCTTTAATAATAGCAGAGGGTGACCATAAAAACGCACCATTCCCCTCCTCTCCAATGAGATTTAAACGCTTTGAACGAGCTCTTTTCCTTTTTTCAAGCTTTAGAGCCTCTTCTAAACCTTTAGATCTATGCCCCTGTATAGAAGCTTCAGCTCCTAATGTAGTTGCAGCCTTAAAAAGCTTTAAAGTGATCTCATGGGTGGGAGCGCGACGAAATTCTAATTTCATTCTACGCATCGCTTTTGACGTATACGGTGTAGCAAGAGCATCCCTGCGAGTTTTAAATGATGTAGGTGGCGTAGAAGGAGCTTCCGGAGCAATACAGTCGATCGTAAGACTCCTATTCATAGGATATATGCCCGTTTTTTCGAAGGATCGTAAGATATTATGCCTCGTACAAGTGAGCTCCCAAGCCTTTTTAAATATGCCCCAAAACATGCGCTTTGTCATACCAACAATTCCCCCGCTATTGTGCATCAAATCATTCAATAATGTACTGTAATTCGTTGAAAGGGCACCGAAGGTTCCAACGTCGAGAGGCTGTAGTCGATGTGTAGAATGAGGGGGGAGAATTAAGACAATAATCTTTAATTCATCGCATTTTGAAAGGAATTCCATATTGACATGACTAGAGTGACCATCGACAATAAGTAGACGATATCTTCCACCTGCTTTTCGACGTGTAGCAGGGTCGAATACGTTTATAAGCCAATATAGGCCAAAAGCATTCGACGACCACCCATTGCTTGAGGCTCCAAAATAGGCTTTATCCTTCTCCCCTACATCCTGAACCCATGTATTTTGTAGATCCCCTGAGTCTCCTTTATAAATAAGAGCGGGAGGGAGAGCTGTCCCATCAGCACATATAGCTGCCAGTAGAGTAATAAACTCTCTTGATCCATCTTGCCTAGCTTTTGTCACTCTGCCTCTATTATAGGCGCTAGCACTCATTATCCTCTTCATAGTCCTCCCCATACCGATCATAAAGCCCTTCTCGTCCCAATTGTATATATCTCTCGGCCGTATATCGTATTTTATGGTCACTTTTATCAACTAAATTAAAAAAAGAGGGGTATTAGCAAGAGCGTTTTAGGTAATAAAGATCAACAACAATAGAAAATAGCTCAAACCAGATCATAAAAGTAATCAAATATAGCAACATTATCGGCTTTCACACGCAAATTATCAATGCAACGGAGATACCGACTTTTAAGACGTGTTGAATGCCTCTTGACAAAATTGCTAGTCCAGTTCTTTCCCACCTCTCTGCCTAGGATCTCTTCTGCAAGGTTTCTGACTATGCGGCTTGTAGGAGGGATAGATCTCTGTGTCAGCTTGTTGATTTGATCAATTAAAACCTCCTCCTGATCACTAGAAAGCGCTTGTTTCGTATCGGAGAGGAACTGTTTTCTCGAGGTGGTTTTACCTCTATGCCGCCGGGAGAGCGTGGATCGATCAATTTTGAAGAAATTAGCTGTCTGGGTGTATTTAGGAGCTTGAACCCCTTTCAAATGATCTAATGCAAGCTCTATACGAGCCTCTAAAGGCATATCATCGATGTTTGAAGCCATAATGTTGATATTTCCAAAGTCGTGCACGTAGTAGGGACGTGCACATAGTGGGGAAATCGGTTACGGTCGCTGGATTGATTACTTCGAAGCATACCACTTACTCACTCATGGATACCTACCTAGTTGGTAGGTACTTTTTATACGGTAATGCACATTTTTAATTCTACAATTCTTCCAGAATAATCGATTTAATACTGCTTACAATTATGCCTAAAAGTTGTTTATACTGTTGTGTCAAGATCTTATAGTTTTAGGCTGTTCTATCTACATCTCTTGAATAAAGTGGCCCATACTGTTGAAACGTATGTACCGAACGCTTTCTATCACACGCAGGCTGAACTATAATGTTACATACAAGTCATCAGGCAGTTGTATCTTCTGCTGCTTTCAATGCCATCGCAAACCTCGCTTTCAGATCACTAGCATCCTCAAGACCAACACTGATCCGAATGAGTTCCGCAGGTACACCAAATTGCGCCGCCCAATCCAGTTCCAAGTAATGAGCTAGGATCACATAAGGTGATGTTAATGTGAAGTTGGTTCCCAGACTTGGGCCTTTCGCAGTTTCAATCTTATCATAGAATGCGACTGCTTGAGGCATCTCTTTGAAGGTAAATGAAAGAAGGCCACCATATCCTCCGTTCGGTGTACGACAATCATCGTAGAAAGTTCTCGAGCTGTTGTATTTGGGGTAGTAAACCGACTTTACCAATGGATGGGTTCGAAGTATATCACATATAACTTCAGCATTGTCGTTGATTTTTTCAATGCGAGATACAAAGTGACGACTGTTCCGTTCCATGAACATGACATCTTCGGCCCAGTAGTTATCTTCATATTCTGTTTTAGCCACAGACTTCAAGGATTGATAGTACTTTCCACCAGTGTTAAAGATGGCACTTCCGCCCATGACGTTGCATTCTCCCGAGAAGATCTTCGTGAGACTGCTGACGACTATGTCTGCAAATGGTAAAACATGAACATTGATAAAATTTCCAATGGTCTCATCAACCACCACAGCAAAATCGTATTTATCTGCCAATGCCCGGATTCGTTTTAGATCCGGACAATTTAGCATTGGATTTCCAGGGAATTCACAAAATAGAGCGAGATATTTCTCTCCTGCTTTCAGTCTTTTCTCCAAATCATCTAGATCTTCGGAAGAGCCGTTGCCATAAAAGTTGCAGCCGGGGCCAAACTTTTCCAGGATTTTAAGAGTATCGACATATGGGAAACCGAAGGATATGCTTTTCAAAGAGCCTCTGGTTTTCAACAGCAGCTGGTGTGCGTTATAAATCGAGTTCATGCCGCAAGGATAAAGGTAAACATCGTCCTCGGAAAGCTCGGCGACTCCACGCATATTGGAGGCCATGTCTGTGCTTGGAGTCTCAGACAAATCAACTTCACCAACCAGGGATCCTGCGATCCGACGGCGAATTGCCGATCTTGCATTGTCCACGAAAGAAACGTCAAGATTTCGGCCAAAACGTTCCTCTAGAAACTGCGAGCTTTCCCGAGCCTCGGAGTTTATCGGCGATATAGGGGAGTGATGGCTGTCGCCCACACCTGAGCCGTTGTGGCTTTTAGATGTCTTGTCTATAGAGCCTTTCTGGTATCTTTTAGGACCTTTACATAGCTTGCCACCATCCTTAGGACTTGGCGGACTTGTCTTCTTCACTAGTAATCCTTCTTGGAAAAGAGTGTGGCAAAATTCAGCTCTTCTGCTAGAAACACCGTCTCCAGAATGCTGCCAGTATTGCTTCGCAATTGGGAACAATTCCTTAGCGAATAAAACAGCAGAAATAGAAGGCGAAATCTTAGTGAGGACTTCTGATGAGGTTTGATTACGCTCAAGGACTAAGTCGATTACACTAAGCTGATTTGGAGATATCGACTTGTCTCTTGAAAGCATAAATGCCACACAACTCCTAGCAGTCTTAGGCGATGGAAAGAGCATTGCCTGCTCATTTTGACTGCCATATGCTTTGACGATATCATCGGCGAATGCAACGATAAGTTTGTGAATGAAGAATCTGAGTCACGAGACCAGCCGGCGTCAGTTGAGTCAGAAAAATTGACGAAAGTTAAAGTAAACTGACCGAGGATATCCAGTGGTCAATTTCTCCAAAACCCTTTGGTCACCCTCTTCGTAACCAACATTGTCCTTCCAAGTTGGTAATGAAACACTTGTGGCCTAGAAGACTATTAGATATATGAATCATGTGAATTGCCTCACGAGAAAGGGGGTTTTCGCTATTGCTACTTCATAGCTACATTAAAAATAAAAGTCGAAATACTCACGTGTGGTGTCAAGGCAGGTACGGACTCTCCAAGTTCGATAACAGACATTTTGAGTTTCTGACGTGAGGACGGAGGGCTATGGTTGAAATAAATTAATAAATGTAGAAGTCCGTTTTTTTTGTAAATTTAACTTAAGAATCCCACTTGTAACGATGCGAAACAATTGTGCAATCAAAGATCGTATCCGCTATCGGAGATTCAGGATAAGAGGACTCTAAAATTTAAGCTTAAATTTAGTGGTTGGGGCTAAGACATTTCGCATCTTTTTTTGAAAAATATAATTCTAAAGACTCGTACGAAGAGAGAAGAGAGAAAATTGTCAACATTTGTGCATTAACAATATCACCATAATGGCACCTCTTACCACAAAACGACGCAAATTAGAACATACAAGTGATGATGAAGCTCCACAATCTCAAAGGCCAAAGGTAAAAGATGTCGACATGGAGAATGCTTCGGCAGATGAAGCCTCTTCATCTGATGATGCGGATGCAATTCAATCGAAACCCAAGCATGCGCTTGCGAAACGACGACACGATGACCAGGATGCTGCGCTATATTCTGGCGGTCTTTATAAGTCAAGTATGTTCAAACTTCAAGTAGATGAGCTGCTGAATGAAGTGCGACCAAATTATGAGAAGCGCGCTGCTGGAATAAAATCCGCATTACACCAGCTCAAAAATGCGATTGAAGGCATTGAAGATCATGAACCCCTTCTTGTAAGCTTTATCCCCAGTAATTAATCACTGCTAGTTGCTTATATACGTTTTATAGATTCCCGATGCCATTAAATTATTCTCCAAAACTCACAAAATTGCGATCCCCTTCCCTGATCCTAAACCCGACAACAATGCGGCCTACAAACTTGTATATTCGAAACCATCTGGTATCAATGTTGTTGGGAGTTATGCTCTGGGGACTATGGTCAAGTCCGAAAAACCTTTATGTGTCGATATGATTGTGAACATGCCGAAGTCACTTTTCCAAGAGAAAGACTATCTTAATTATAGATACTTCTACAAGAGGGCGTACTATTTGGCAACAATCGCGGCTGGACTTCGTACTTCAATGCCAGACTTGACATTGGAATATGATTTTTTAAATGGAAATAGCCTACATCCTATCCTAGTAGCTCGATGGAAAGCTAGCACAAAAGGGGATCCAAATTCGCGATTTGAGGTACATATCATACCTGCTGCTGCCCATGGCTGCTTTGCAGAGGCCAAGCTACGCCCTACAAAGAACTCGATTCGCCCTAAAGAAGGAGCGGATAACGATGCCACCACACCGGAGCCTTCACCATTTTACAATTCGTCCTTGAGCGCGGACTGTAACTTCGAATCATATCTTCAACTGCTCCATAATGCATCCAAGATATCGGAAGGTTTCAAAGATGCGTGTCTGCTTGGCAGAATTTGGCTTCGACAGAGAGGGTTTGGCAGTGCTATACCTCAGGGAGGGTTAGGACACTTTGAGTGGGCCGCTTTGACAGCCCTGCTGCTGAAAGGAGGTGGTCCCAGAGGACATAGCCTTTTATCTCCCGGATATAGCAGCTATCAAATGTTCAAGGCAGTAGTTCAATATTTATCGACCACTGATCTGATTAAAAAGCCAGTGCTTTACGAGGCACCAGATCTCCAGATTGCGAAATCTGACATCCCAGTATTCTACGATGGCCCAAGAGGCGTCAATATTCTGTACAAAATGACACCATTTTCATACGAATTACTGCGTGATGAAGCAAAAACTTCATTGACGATGCTCAATGACTCTACTTTTGATCAGTTCGAGGCAACATTCATCACAAAGGCCGATCAGATCCTGCAGAAATATGACTGCATCGTAAACATTCCTATCCCCGTCCAAAAAGATGGTGTGTCCAGTTGCGATCATAAGATTCATACCACCACTTTTGCAAACCGTGTATTCGCTACCTTGAAAGAGGGCTTGTCTGATAGGGTCAAGCTATTAGATATTAAGGCCATCGAAACAACCTCTTGGCCAATTAAGAGCTCGGGGCCGTCAACAAATAATGACCAGACGTTGAATCTTGCGGTTCTCTTTGACCCATCGAATATAAGTCGTCTCGTTGACCATGGTCCGCCCGCGGAAGATAAGAAGAAAGCATTAAAGTTTCAGAAGTTCTGGGGTGAGAAGGCCGAGCTGAGACGTTTCAAAGATGGAAGTATTCTTGAAAGTTTAGTCTGGTCGCCTGGTTCAACTTATTCCATCTTTGAAGATATTGTCACCTATCTTATAAAGCGACACTTTGGACCCGAGATAAGCAAGGGATTGAGTTTCATTGGCGAGGGTTTTGAGAAACTATTACCCTCGTATGGAAATAGCTCTAAAGCTTTTGAGGTCCTCAGACAGGCATACAATACTTTCGAGAAGGATATCAGAGATATGGAGAGTCTGCCGTTGCAATTGAAACAACTTTCCGCAGTAGATCCACAATTGCGATCTTCGTCGATTGACCTTCCCTTATTTGCACCTAGACAGCCTTTAAATGTCCCAGCAGATGTGCTGATTCAGTTTGAGGGATCTGGTAGGTGGCCCGATGATGTTGTTGCCATCCAAAGAACTAAGATTGCTTTTCTTCTCAAGATCGGCGAGCTTTTGGTCGAGTCTAACGATGCCATAATCACGAGACTTGGCATAGAGAATGAAGATCAATCACTGCAGAACTGTGCTTTCTTGGATGTGTTTTATCCATCGGGCGCCACGTTTCGCCTTCGAATTCACAATGAGCGAGAGCAAACGCTTCTTGAGCGCCAGGTCAAAGATAAGTCCAGTGATAATCGATCGCGAGAAGATGCAGCTTCAGCACTTTCCATCTATAAAAGGTTTAATATCCAGCTCCCATTGCATACGCAATCGATATCAACACATTGTACTCGATTCCCTCTTCTATCACCGACCATTCGTCTTGTTAAGAAATGGTTTGACCGCCACATGCTTTCTGATCATGTCAGTGGTGAGCTTATCGAGCTTTTGGCAGCTCGAGCTTTTCTACAACCTTATCCGTGGAAGGCGCCATCGAGTGCTATGTCTGGATTTTTACGCACTTTGCTCTTCCTTTCGAAATGGGATTGGCGCTCCACTCCACTAATCGTAGACTTCACCGGTACGATGACAGATAAAGATGTTTCCACCTTGAATACCAGGCTGGAGGCATGGCGAAAAATTGATCCAGGCATGAATCGCACTGTTGTGTTTGCAGCATCGAATCATGACACAACCGGAACCGCTTTCACTGACAAGGGGCCCTCTAAAATGGTAGCCGCAAGAATGACCGCTCTTGCGCGATCAGCTTGCAAAGTCGTCAAAGACCAAGGGTTGAACTTGGATACCAGATCACTTTTTGCAACATCCACAAATGACTATAATTTTGTCATTCACTTGAATCCTAAGGCTGCCGGTACCTCGAAAGCAAAGGATTCACATCGCTTCAAGAATCTTGAGGTGCAGTCAGAGTTGAACATTGATAAAGTCGACTATCAACCCCTTCAAATGTTCAGCGAAGAATTGGAGAATCTATACGGTGGAAGCATTGTCTTTTTCCGTAGTGCAACAGATATCTCTCGAATTGGAGGACTATGGAATCCGCAAACGAATGTATCTAGAGCTTTCAAAGTGAACTTGGCATATGCAGTAAAACCTGAAGAGAACGATGGGGATGACGAAGAAGCGAAGAATGTCAAAATCAACCAGTCAGCGATGTTGGCGGAGATCGCTCGTTTGGGGGGTGATATGGTGTCTAGGATAGAAGTTCATTAAAGGAAGACGCTTTGAATACTCCAAGGACATGTAATGTAAGAAGATAAAAATCTCTTAGATGATACCCAAGTATAGAATGATGGTCATATTGTAAGGGTTTACATGGTCTTGAGCAATAGCCATTGATGCTGATTGGATAATTGAGCCCATTAGGTACAATACAAATGAAGAATGATCATTTTGAAACCCATTTCCCATCGAACGATGTGACTTGCAAATAAGGAGAACTTGAGAAATCTTCGCCAGTAATGGAGAATTTCCTTCTTTGAAAAATGCCAGGTCGAGTGACTCTTAGCAGTCGCAAGACAAGCAGTCTGCCTTACCTACGTAGTATTTCCATTCTACGTTTCAATCACCACAAATTAAAGACTTACAATAGAGAAGCTTTAAACTCTGGTATGAAGCGTCGAAGCTTCTTTTTGAATTCAAACTAAGATAAAATCATGTAACGTCAACATTTAAAACTGATTGGACTCAATGAGCCATTCGGGTCAATTCAAATGTGGAAAAGTAAAGTTCACCGGGGATTACCAGTCAACTACAGAGCTCACCGGGAGCTGATCTGGCCCAAGCATTTTCTAATCCGCACCTTCAGCCTTACACTCACTCGCTTAAAAAAAAGTTCAGGTGGGGGTAAAAAAGTTATGGCGGGGCAATCAATCTATCGGTGGAAGATTTTACATATCATTCTTTAATTTACATAACTCTTTACTCAAGCGGTTCATACTCTAGTTATTCTTTCTTAAACTTTTGTTGCATATTAGTGATAACTCGTGTCACAATGCCACCATATGATAGCGACTCTTCTGGAGGTGAGGAAGAAGACTACACAGAAACCAATGTTTTACTTGGTTATGCCGGGAAAGAACCTCAAGATGATACAATCAGTTATTTAGGTGGTGAGCCTGTAAGTTCTCCCCTGGACAATTCTTCGAAAATCACGAAACCTACAGTTTATTCCACTTCAATTGCCATTTGAAAAACAACTAACACTTACTTCAGTCTTGGATTGACCCTTCCACGCCTCCATCCGCCGCTCTCGCAAAATGCAAAATCTGCAACGACCTCATGGTTCTCATCCTCCAACTGAACGCCGATCTCCCCTCTCACTTCCCCGATCATGAACGCCGTCTATACATCCTAACATGTCGCCGAAAAACATGTCGGAGAAAGGAAGGAAGTGTTCGCGCATTGCGCGGTACACGAATTGCTGAACCTGCAAGTAAGCCAAGATCAAGAGAACCGGAGAAAGAAAAACCAAAGTCAGAGCCCACAAAGCCAGCAGCTAGGATAGGAGAGAGTTTATTTGGAGCCAAGCCATCAACATCCGGAAATCCATTCGCAACGGGCTCAAATCCCTTTTCTACACCATCAGGCGGCAGCACACCTTCAAATCCTTTCGCAGCTGCTGGCCTAGCTACCTCTGAACTCGCTGCAAAACCCCCTCAAACCCCAGAACCTACATCTTCAGAAACCACAAAGGACACTCTTCCAAAAACCTTTGCATCTGCCCTCTCCCTCAACAATCCACAATCTCAACCAGCGACTCAAACCCCTCCACCCAACGAACCATGGCCTACAACCAACCTCCCAGCACCGTATCCCCTTTACTACCTCGTAGATGCCGACTATGAGACCCTCGATAAGGAGCCCTTGCCCCCACCACCTCAAGCTACCATCGTAGACGACACGCCCGACTCATCATCTGGCGGAAAGGAAGACAAGGAGATTTTTGAATCAACGCACGACACGACTTTCCAGAAATTCGCCGATCGTCTTTCCCAAAATCCTGAACAAGTAATCCGTTATGAATTCCGTGGATCTCCTCTTCTTTACTCTAAAACAGATTCTGTGGGAAAGATCTTTGCGGATGCTGGGAAGGGAAATGAGAAGGTTAAAGTTAGTAATGGCAGTGGAAACTGGAAGATACCGCGCTGTGCGAATTGCGGGGCCGGGAGAGTATTTGAAGTACAGGTAACACCCCATGCGATCATGGAGTTGGAAAGGGAGGAAAAGGGCCTGGATGGGATGGATTGGGGGACGGTAATTTTAGGGGTTTGTGAAAAGGATTGTGTGCCCAGCTGGGTGGAAGGTGGAAAGACGGGATACGTAGAAGAATGGGCGGGAGTGCAATGGGAAGAGTTAGGCGGGAAGAAATAGGAGACGAGTCGAGGTTGTTCAGACGTCATAAATACATAGTCATTATTGCGAATACCATATGAGAAATGAAGCATAGTTTGGGGCTTTGACTTTTTTTATTTCATTTGGCTACTTGCATCAGATTTCGCGTGCGTTTTACAGTGAAGCAAAATTTCACGCTGCAGCTACTATCTATGCGACGTCTAGAAGCCAGCCACTCCTCTCGAGATCCTCGTCATCGAGGGAGATGCAAAACAGATAGAGAGTAGGCATCTTTTCCCGTTCCTCAAGGACACCCTGATATAACGCCAACCTCCAACCCATTATCCCTTTGCATACAAGCATATCTCATAATTACTAACCCCTGCACACCTAAGCAGGTTGTTCATAAGCTCTCTTGATTACCCTCGAGAATTGCTCCATCTTGACATTTTCCCTGACCACGGTTCCCTTGGCCTCATTCTCCTTGTTTAATGGTACAATGACAGCGCCATTTTCAATAGTCCATCCACATACCTCCTTGATGAATTTCTCAAAGGCTTCACCGTTCATTCCGAGCCAGTTCTCGAGCTCTGAACTAGCTACTTCGCGCACGGATTGGGAAATCGTCGAGGCGATGCGGATGCGGACCAGCTCTTCGAAACCACTTACATCGGCAATGAGATCGGCGTATAAATCATCGGAATCAAGGGTTGACCAGAATTGGCTGTAGTTTGCGGAGGAGAGGAGGGTGTTGAGAACTGCGAGCTTTTGTACGGCTTCGGAAAGAGGAGCGTCTCCTGCTGCGGGGAGAGATGATGAGGCTGAGATAGGTGTAAGGATGTGGGGTGGAAGGAGGTGGAGAGCGAGGCTGAAGTCTGGGGAGGGGAAGACGGTAAGGGACTTGACGAGAATGTTGGTTATGGTTTCGTCTTTGGTGAGGTGGGGGTTGAATTGGTAACTGTGGTTTTGGTATGATACATTAGTTACGAATTCCAATTGATATTTTGCGACAGTTTAAAGAATAATGTATATCGTGTCTTTCAGATAGAGCTAATAATAAACTTCATGAAATGGAGGGATTCATTCTCCAAAGTTTCAGGTAATAGGGAACGTTAAACGTTCATTCATCATTTAGACATAGTAAATCTTCTCTTTCTCGAGTATGGGATTCATTGAGCGTATGTGTCAAGAGCTTTAAGCTCCTACTCTTCCCCTCATTCTTCCACCCAACCAAAAAGAGAAGCAATTGTAGACGGAACAAAAAAAAGATTCCCAACTCACAGTTTCAGAAGCGCCAAATTAGCATAGCAGTCATAGGTCTTCTCCTCACACTGCAGCGTTACATATTCTTGGAAAATATTTGTTGTTTCGGGGTTATAACGATCGAGTCCGTTGAGGATAGCATCGATGTGTTCAGGCCTGTCTGGCGCATAATCAAAAGGGACACCCATATTTATCGTATCGTGGGTATGTGTGAAGAATGAAAAGAGGAGGTGGGGTGTTGGTGGAGAGACGGTGAGGTGGGAGAAAAAATTGGCTTGGTCGTCCAAAGAAAGAAGAAGGAAGTTGAAAGAAACTTGAGGTTTTAGGATATTGCTGTTGCTCGTTAGGGCTGCTGTGTGAAGATTTTGCCGACGCTAGTGGGGTGTTGGTGCCTTAGGTTGTCGGAATGAAATTGAGGAACTCAATAGTTTCCCGTCTCGTCTCCTCAGTCTAGATCTTCCATCACCTTTTGTTTCCAAAGTGTAAGTATAGTTTCGGAGAATCAAAATAACGATTTGTCACGGAAACGCACGACTAAATTTATTCATACACTCATTCAGATAGAGTTGACTCTATCTATCTATCTATCTACACAAAACAAAATACGAAGAATATACATGAAATCTCCTCGGAACTATTCAACTATAAATAACTAATATCGTATGTGGTGATCTTTACTCCATGAATCAATAAGTATGTTGTGGTGGTTGCCTTTCTTTCTCTCCCTCGCCTGGGATAGACACCCCGTTTCCCAGATTGAAATGGGTTTCTTCTATTGTACAAGTCTTCTCCCGTCTTCTCATCCTACATTCCCTGAATATAAACACACAATCGCATATTCGCTACATCGCTCAAGATTGCAAATGCCAATTAACTCCAGTTCCAGTCCATACTAAACGAATGGTACGTGGACTCCCAATGGTATATTTTGGTTACACTCCCAAGGTCCATCCCATAAAAGAAAGTCATATTCATCTTCATCTTCATTGCCATCGTCATCTAGCTTTTCCAACCCCTCCCTTACTACTTATGGCACTCATCGGGCTAACATTATCTGCATTTCTCCTCGAATCCCATTGTTGATTCATGTTTCCATTCATACCATAAAACCCTTGGCTAGCCAGACTGCTCGGTCCGCTCCCTATATCTGGACCTGGATCCCCCCATTCACCCATTGATGTTCTACTGCTGTATTTGCTTTCATAAGTACCTTGACTTGCTACTCTCGTGTCGCTGCTCACAAAGTTTTGGATTGGCACTACTGGCGCCTGACCCGGCTTAAATGTGGGCATCGTTAATGGATCGGGATACAAATCGGAACCACATTCAAACACTGCAGGGCTATTTGATTTTGGGACATTGTTTGCCAACATTGGTAACCATAGCTCTGGTCGCTCGAGGTCAAAGGGGTCAGATCGCCCAGCCATTCTACGTGTATTGTTGATGTTGGAAGCTGTAGAGTATAATGTATCACGAAAGCTTTCTGTACTGGGTGCTATACTCGAGGGATACCGTGATACATTACTGATGCTTGGAGTGCGATATGCAGCCGGCCCATAGACACTGCTAGGTGCATTCTTATGACCTCGAGTAGTACTGTCTAATGACTCGCCACGAGAACGGCGGACGTCGCTGATATATGTACTGGTCCTCGGAATAGCAGGACCAGGCCGAGAAATAGAATCCCATTTGTTCGGGTCCGCAAATGGATTGGTATTCAAGTTTCTTGAAGCAGGATCCGCGAACGGATCTTGTGGAATACCGAAGTCTAACCCCAAACTACCGAACATTTGTCCAGAGCCCGAATTTGAAGAAAGAGAAAGACGGCGACGCTCAGCTTTCATTAATAAATTACGATCATCCATGTCCATCAGATTACCAAAGTCCTGCCTTTCCGACATTCCGCGTGCCATTGCAAAAGGATCCTGTTCCTCTTTCTGAGTTTTTCGAAATACACCTTTAACTTTATTCGAGAAGTCATCTGCTCGATCTTTTGCAGCGTAGTGCAATGCATGTGCGGATGCCGAAGAGTTGTTCCTGCTATGATATGGAATTGGACCTTCAAAGAATTGTGAGTTCCCTCTATCAAGATTCACAGTTGGCTTATTTCCTGGCTGAACATGATTCTTAAGAGTAGAACCTATGCCAGCTAAACCTGCGCCAAAGTTTGTCGCAGCACCCCCTATCTGTGCTTTAAAGTTTGTACCTCGACCCGCTGATCCTACGGAATCATCATAGATATCGTAATACTGGCCTTGTGCCTTCTTATCAATATCATAGAACTGGTCTTGAGTTCCGTTTGTCAGAGGTGTGAGGAGAGAATTTCTTTTTGACTTTCTTCTTCTCCTACAGCAGAATATGATCAATCCTATTAATGCAAGGAAACCGATTCCGCCTAGTATTCCCCCAATTACAGGTGCAGTCATGAGACGACCCAACGAAGAAATTCCACCAGCAGCTGTAGACTCAACCGATTGCGTTGAAGATGCTGTTGCGCTTACGACTGAAGTTGCATGACCGACACTGGGATCGTGGGATGCGGGATCATGGCTTGCAGGATCATGACTGGATGTAGCTGTAGTACTTATCTGACTTTGAGCAATTGCTATTGAAGTACTTGATGACTCAGTTGGCGTCGTACCTTTAGACGCTGGGCTAGGTGATGTTGTCGTACTGATACTTGTTGAAGTTGTTTGAGTTTGGGATGCACTTGAGGTGGTAGCTACTGGGGTTGGTGCAGGTGGAGGTGGAGGTGGAGGTGGCGGTGGGGTTGGTGGAGTTGGTTTTGGTTCAACTGCACTCGTAGTCGTACTTGACGATTGTACCACTGGTCCTCCCACGGCAACAGCCACCGGTGAGCTCGCGACTGCTGGGACCACACTCACCGGAGTTGAGGTTGGTTGCGGAGTTTGAATGGCACTCTCCGGAGTTGATGTTGAAGTCGAAGTCGAACTTGAGGAGATAGACGTAGACGAAGAAGAAGACGAAGAAGAAGACGAAGAAGAAGAGGTAGATGTTGAAACTGGAACTGGAACTGCAGCTGTGATTGCTGATGATACTGTATTGGCCGTCCTCGGGACAGCAGTACATCTCACACCATTTATTGAAGTAATTGAAAATCCTGCCGGCAGGTTTGCGCTCGTCGACATCTTGTCGAATAAAAAAAAGCGACACCCAGTCGCTACAAATGAATGTATTGAATCAGCCTTTAAGGAGATTTGTTTGAATATTGGCTCTTCGGCCCTTCAGGTTAATTTCATAATGGTACTCTATATCTTGTCGACGACCAGAGATCGGCAATTAACGATGAAAATGCAAAGTAGAAAATAACAAGAACAAATTGAAAATTTACGAAAGCTTCAGGTACAATAGCATAATGAGTAACAATTCTTACTCACCAGAAAAAACGGTTGAAAGACTACTATTTTCTTTTGTTACACTGGGGAGGGGAGGGGTTAGATGTTGCAAATCTGATACACGGTTTGTTTTACGCTCTGGCCTTCTTGAGCACTCGCTTCCCAATCGATCGAACATTTCACACTAAAGCGGTAAGAACACCCCGTAAGCACAATAAGTAAAGGCCTTGCCGCTGCTAATTGGGACAAGTGGTTGAGTTAAATGATGTAGATGTCGAATTGGAAATCAATGAAAGTGATTGAAAAGGCTTCGATTCAATCTAATTCTCTAGGCGTCATTGGACAATCAAGAAAGATTTAAATGAAATGATACTATTCACGTTTATGCCTCCCCTCGTTTCCCTCCCCCTCCCCCCCCTGTGTGGGGTGACAATAGAGTTATAGAAAAGGCTAAATTAGTTGATAGGGATAAGGATAGGATAGGCTAGGCTACCAAATCCGTTCGTTTCTCAAGGGCCAAGGCGTAAGACTGAGGTTGTCTAATATCAAATTAAGTTGTCTGCTGCCAATTGTGCTGCCAATTGTAGGACTCAAGCCTCTAGCAGTCGACTAGCCCTGACTACCTACCCGAGTTAGTCGTGTTTCCGGAAAAATTAGATTAAATGGCGGGAATTGTCACATTTTTGTTGGTGGTATGGTGTCATCACGATCCAAGGGGAGGGGGAGGGGAGGGCGAGGAAGAGTGATGGAAAGTTACTTCCTGCAAGCGAGAGGGCTATTGTAGTACTGATGATCCCAACGATTTCATAATCGACTCCTTCGAGGTTGTATTCCTACAAAAAGAGACAAACGCCCCCACTTGGCGGTGAATATTAATATATCTTCATTTCGATTTAATCTAATTTGTTTCCTTTTGAAAACTGACAAGACTTGAATTACCAACTATTCAATCATCCGGTGTTGGGCAGTTGAGTGAGAGTTGATGAGAGTTAGAAATTCAAATATGGGTTCTACAGGATAGACATCTTTCCGAGTCTTATCCGCACACTCACTATCAGAAGCTTCTCAATACACTTTTGAGTTATGATGTTATACAAAATGCATATGTGCTTTATCATACTCTATCACCCGGTATATGAGCATGCCGAGCCTAAAGACTTCGTTCCTTTAATAGTACCTGCATACAACGATTTCCACGAGCTTCCACCACCAAGAATGTGACAAGAGGATATAAGAGTCTTTCGCTTCACTTCATCCCAAGAATGGAACAAGATGAACAGATCCGGAAGTTCGCATTGCCTGCCTTTACGTTTGGCTTACCACGTTTTCTTGTTTGAGCCTCAGTAATCCTCTCTTGGCAACTTATTCTTCCACATATGTGATATATCCACTATTCCCTCATCCTGAACCTAATTCTCTCCATCTTGTTTCTGTTCTAGTTATGCTTATCGACTCCGTTGTGGAATCGACTGCTATGACCCTACACCATACCTACAACGGTATTAGTCGAGAAACCAACACATGGTCGGAAGTATCAAATTGATTGAAGCACCGCAGTAAACAAAACTGTCACAATGGAAACTTAAGCATTTTAAAGTTGTATGGTAGGTCATACTCGTTTTGTGCCATAACAGGCTTTATTATGGTGTGACGTCTAGAAGGGCCACTTTTCACTCTACACGGCAATCTTCTGGTCCGCGTATGAGGATCGTGTAGTACAGTATAGTATTTAGGTAGTGAACGGCATTGTTCTATTTGTTCAATGGAATGTTACAAGACATGGTCGGTTAGAAGCCAGGTCCTACAGATGCTGTTGATCTGGACCAAATGATATGATATGCAGCACAAAGGAAGTTCGCAGAATGTATCTGAGCAGAACAGATTTCCAGTATCATTGCCGGCGGTACTACTTCATTAGCATGTTGTGTATAAATATACTGACTGGTGCAAAGTGAACAAGCGGAATACCCGGGGCTTGAACGGCGATGCTTTGCCAGATATGATGATAGTTTGAATGAAGAAGGTTGGCATACTTGAGTAAGAATAGATACCTCTGTGAGATAATCTGGGCTCAAATCCACCAAAGAGCATGATCTTCAACCCAAAATATGAATAACTAGGTACCTAGGTAGTAGATTAGCTGCAAATTACAATTGATGTATAAAATTCACTACCTAGGCATGAAAGAAGAGGTTTCCAAACTCAAGTCTCGAACTCTAGGTATTTGCCTGTTTGTACGTATATGATCTATGCCTTTCCAGTATCGTTGACGGCCATCAATATCATATCACATCACATCACATTCGCAGGAACTGGTACTCGTTACTCGTGCTAGTCCTTCTATTTGAGTAAATCACTCTTTCAACTTTGTTTGTCCTTGTACATATTCCGCAAAGGACAAGGTCAGCAACGGTATACTCATATCATTGGTTCACCAGGTTTATAATTACAAGTAAGGTTACTCGAGTACATCATCCACTATAATCAAGCAATTGATTGGAAGAGAAGCAAATTGAGAAACGACAACATATGGCATATGCATAATTCACGCGACTTTGCCCCAGCATCGACCGAGGGTACTTTCTCCATAACAATCAATCAAGCAACATCGCAGCGGAAGAAGAGACTTCACACCAGAAGTATCTCCCTCAATTGTCAGTCATATTCATATTCACGTCAAAATATATCAATCAACATTCTGGTATCGAATATATTAATAACACATCTTTGGGATATACCAATTCTTCCGCACTCGGATTCTACGAGGGGTTTGCATTGATTGATTGATTAATTAATCGTTCTTAAAGGGTGGGTGAGAATCAAAGCTCCGGACAATAACCCTTCAGAATATCAAAAGATAATATCCGGGGAAAGGGAAGAACGTCGCTGTCATCATCATCATAATCATCATCATCACCATCATTATGTTCGGTAATTTTGCAAGTTTTGGTAAGCACTGAAATATATTTCTACTCCTCGAATACACTTTTTATAATTCAAGATCGAGCTTTTCCTTGTGCCTGCCTATCTTCTTAAGCTTTCCATACTGAGCTCAAGATTGTACCAAAATCTCTATGAGGTCTGGATAGGAGTCTCAATTCCAAATGTATAATCTCCAGCCTTAGTCATGTGGTCCTCTATCCATGGTCCTAATGAGATATTCATTATACCCCCGATAGAAGCTACCGTCACCCCGTTTGATACCTCTCCGCCGGGGTCATGGTAATCACTGCGTGTCTGAAAGTCTTCAGAGTTTCATGGATCACTACTACATTGATAATGAGCATTCATATTATTGATCATCTCATGAAACCGTTGCAAACTTATACAAGCTCTTTTCATTCGTTTTCATTCCGTTTCATCTTTTTATTTTATCCTACACCCATCCTATTTAGCCGTCTAGGCATTTCACAACGTCCATACCATCATCCAAGTTTCCCATGAAATAGGGCGAGACAGGATCCATGTTCAGAAAAGCTCAATATTCTGACTCTTTCACAGCACCGCAACCTACCACAGCTGATGGTAAGCCTCGGACCATCCCACCACCAACTCCACTCACGTTCCCTTCAAGTACACCCCAATCGCTGGAGCATGTTTCTTCGGACGATGTACCCCTAGTCACGTTTCTTCAGACAATTCATCGGCTAACGGATATAAAATTATCCCATTTCGAAAGGCTGGGTATTCACGTCGTCCCAAATGTATCCCCTCAGGAGTTGTTACCCGATCCTTCCTTCCTTCCCCCGGATGAAGAATGGACAAATATCTCCGAGGAAGATTTAGAAGATGCAACTACAGCAAGTAAAAATCTTCTAAGTAATGGCAATAAAGGTCCTGGAGTGAAAGCTTATCTGGACCGCCGAAGGGAGCTTTCGATTGACAATACAGCTGCTTTTCGCACTGTCCGTAGAATTCCCCAAATAAAAGGCACACCAGCAGCTCGCCTAGGCAATGCGTATGAATTCTACAAGAATTTGGAAGTCTTTTCGGGCTACTGGGTTGACACTTCTCTACCAAAAATCACCACCCCACCTTCTGACGCTGCCGAACATGTTGCTGAGAATCAAAACGGGGTAACCGAAGAAGGTGAAGCTGCAATCCCGCTCCACCAACAAACCCACGTTCGGACTGGCACTGGTTCCCAGCTTCCTCACGAATTCCGTCAAGGTCTTACGACTTCCTTCGTAAAACTTGTCGCCTACGACTTCGGCTGTAACGTTTCGTTTCCACGTGTCGAACCTCGTCTCCACATTCATCCACCAAAGTCAGAATCCATATTCCCTCCATCTCAGTTTTCCGCTATGGGTATCACTATGATATACCGTTCTCCTACCGACCGAAACTCCTCTCGCGCAGGAATTCTTGAAGGACCCTTAGCAGCTCTCTCATGTCGGTCGTCAACATCATTCAGCACTCCCCTCGACTCTAACCTAGATCTTGCTCGTGAAGTAATCACGATTCTGCTCACGGCCCAACAACGGAATCGTGAAGGAAAATCTGAAAAGCCCTTTGGTGAGGGAAAATGGTGGACTAGTGTTCCTCGCTGGGGCGGTGGGAAAGGTGGTCCTATTGGCAAAGAAATCGAAGCAACCTCTTCTAGCTCTTCATCCGCCTCTTCATCTTCAGGAGACAAATCTATCATGTCTGAGATCAAATCCAAAATCACTTCTTCTTCGTCAGAAGATAAATCCCTTATGTCCGATATCAAATCTAAAATCGGCGGTATAAATTCCCTCCCTTCTCTTCAATCCATCACTTCGGAAAGACGCCCCCCGCAGAAGAAACCCCGCACAACGCGTCAAGGTGGCCAATCTCAGATGTACGAAAATTACCGCAAAATGGTGCCCCCGACCAGCACGTGGGACAAAAAGGTACGTTACATGGCAATTGGCAAACCGGGTGGTGTAGGAGGGGATTGGGACGAGGTGTTCTTGGTTAGCTCTTTGAATCATCATATCAGTTTTCTGAGGGGAAGGGTTGGGAAGGAGATTCTAGAGGTTCTGGATGGAGAAAGGGATGGAAAAGGGGGATATGAGAGAACAGTGATTTGGAGGACGAAGTGGTATGATTTGTTCAAGGGGGAAGATAGGGTGGAGGCTATGCGTGTCATCTGGGGAATAATGGCTTGGGGAATGAGGGGTGAGGAAGTCGGAGAGGGAAAGATGGACGGAGAAGGAGAAGAGAAAATGGACATGGGTAAGTAAGTGAATGGGGATTTGGAAAGAGAATACTATGCGTGAGGGATCTTTTAGTAGATAGATTCGGATTTGGGCTGAGTGAGTTGTTTTTGCATATTCTGAAGCGTGCTTGAACGCGGATGAATGGAATTGAATGGATATCGAAAGCGAGCTAGCGAGGGATGATCGGAAATTGGAGAGATAAAAGGACGAATGATCCAACGGGTGAATGGATGAAGAGTACATACACGCATACTGTAGATAGACGAGCATAAAAATCAAAGTGAGCTTATTTATGAGGATGATTACATTTTGTCATAAACTGATCACAGATACTTGCTGAATAATCGAAGTGGATGAATGCAGGACAGGACGTATCCGGCATGGAGTTTTCACGATTTGAACTAGACAAGTTAGACAGGTAGGTAGAAATATGTGTGTTGATCAACACGCTATGACACGATACCTAGTTTTAACTTCTATGCAAAACCAAGTGAATGTCCAACATGGCTCTCGAAATCAGAGATATGAGTGTGGGAAGGAGAAGGAGTATATATGCATGCTTGTATTAAGACCTCTTGATCAGAAAATCAATATATAAACAAATCAATGAGAGAAAACAGGATATACACTTCACACGCGCGCCCAGTTGCTTGTGCTTCTCGGGAGCGTAGTGCTGTTCAGGATGGAAAGCAGGTAGGTGTATGGAGGCATGAATGATGCGGTTTAATTTCATCTGTTTATTGGCTTTCCAGTCTACATTTATAAAACCATTCTGGCGATCCTTTGTATGGAGTATAACTACTGTCGGCTGTTCTCTAACCTCACTCTGAGCACATTCTTATGTTCTGAGCCGGAAATCCCTCAAACATCACAAGAGGAACCTCGCGAGGATGCATTATTTTTGTTAATTTATGTCGACGTTGTTACGTTGGATTCGAAGAGATATAGATAGTGTTCGTTTCTTGTATATCTTCCTATTGTGTATCGGATGAGAGATCAATCGCATCGTGCGCCAAATTCCCTTCTTGTGCGTTGAATCAAAGGAATTTGCTGCTGCAACGCTATATCTTTTATTCATCAACGCTTGAATGCGTTGAATTGTGTTGCATCGATATTTTATTTATTCATGTGAAGTGCCAATGCGTCCTGAATGAGCGAAAGCTGAGTCAGTGGAAGATATAAGAATTAGCAAGTGAACATTATACCTGATTTTTATATGGTGATAAGAGAGCTTACTGATGTTGTGTTTTAGTTGTTAGATTCTTGATACGGCTTGAGACTTTGAGGTCCAGCATTCGAGAATTCTGAACTCGTCAGTCGAAATAACCGTTCAAGCGCTGCAAATGATACAATATTACTCGAACTCGTTAGAATTAGTGTAGATAGAAAGTATCTAAGTAGTGATGAAGCAATTATTTCCAGTATTAGATGTTGCTTGTAGAATCTGTATCTGGCTTTGGATCATACGGGTATCTGGGCGTTGAGAAAACAACTGTACCGAGAAGACTACGCCAGACGTTTCAACGAGAGCTAGATGCGTTTAATTTACTCAGCTATTATCATTCATAAATGAGATAGTCAGTGCAAGTCATAATAGGAATTCACCCAAGTCCTATTGCTGCATAGTCTTTATGAAACGAGTGGACAATGCCGCAAACGATCGAAGCGCCTATACTTCATAACTTACACTTGAGTTTTAGTTTATCTTTCTACCAAAGCCGGTATGCAACTTTATGCGGGTGTCGAATTTGCCTGGGATTATGGAAGTTATCACACTGAAGCGTGTTGTTGAGAACAACATCCTGCAACGCGTACGGATGTGACTTGAGGAACTTATTACATCGATGTTCTAGAGCCTTGTTGTACTTCAAGCGACCCTATCAGCTGCTGCTACTACGTTAATGTTATAGGTTCTCTTAGAACGCTCGTACTGCGTTAGAAAGGGGGATGGATGACGCTCAATTGGAGTCCAATCAACGAGTATACTTGATAAGAGGCACATTGCAGCCCAACAGGTAAGAATTCGTGGCCACTGAGTGGAGATATCCAGAGTTACACTGCGGTTTATTGGTCAGGGGAAGCCTCCCGCTGGTCAAGATCTCGGGGTAAATACCATGATCAACGGTGGTGCTACTGCATTCAGTCCGGAAAGAACGACGGGACTCATACTTGCTCGTACTTTTCGTGCCCCCTGTATTCAAGTACCAGAGTGTTTCTCTCGTGTTTGAGTAGAAACGATGTCTTGAATGATCCACGAACAGCTTGCATCGTATTGGTTGATGTATGCAATGTTATCATATTATATGCTGACGAATTCAGCCACGCTAGCTAGTGTTTGGCTCGATGCCCTTGATACGTGCTGTCAGTAACAGGTGTCGATGCTACAATGATTTAGCCCCGTAAGCTTGTACGTGAAAGTTCAGAATGCTGTGGAACTTTCTCAATCGAGCGAAATTGTCTGCGATATAACTCAGTATCGCGCACAAGTTGATAGATAACAGTTCATCCGAGGAATTCAAACCACGTTGGAAGCATAGGATAAGAATCGAAGCTCGAAGTAAAGCATGCACCACCCTAGTCATCACCAGCTCACTATGCGTGCTTGCTGGCACCTGGCAATATACATTTACCAATATTTGCATGCCTCCCTTCCTATTCAGCATGTACCATGTAAACTTGCATAGAATATGATAATTCTATCAGCATTGTGTGATTGGTCACCACGAGTGCAGGGTGGCAAATCAGTTAACCTGTAAATTCCCAGTACGTCCTCGGGACCCCACAGTGTGAAACTTCACAGCAGCATAGGGGCACCGGAAATTGCTATCTGGTAATGTATTCGGCGACCTGAGCTTGCCCAAACATTCTGGGGACCCGCTGTCAAGATTAGCATTGTGGCGGCGAAATTTCACCTTCCCACGAAATCTGAAAGTGATAGTATCTGGAAGCATGGGATGTGAATACCTATTTTGTGATAAAAGTTGTTGGAAAACAAGACACAAACGAGGATGATTGATATTGATATGTGTCTTAAAATTCGAGAAGCACATTGATCAAGTGGAGGTAGGTCCATGCTCAACCAGAAGAACCTTGCCCTGCGCATCATCCCTACTCTGCACAATCGACTGGTGGGAGCCTCAACCTCAATTTGATCAAAGAGCCGGCTCATAGGGCTGGGGCTGGTGAGCAATATTACACAAAAACCCACACATCAATGTCACGTAGCAATGTTTGATAAAGTGAGTTGGCGCCAAGGTTCTAGCTGACGTGATAGATGAAGAATAAGAACACAAGAGCTACCAAAGTAAGTTCAACGCCTGTACATAGCCACATGCCGCATGCTTGCATGCTCGGTAATAGATCTGGAGTTAACATTGAAACGTGGGAAAGAAGATTCTGACAGCAGATAATGCAGGCAGGGCTTGAGATCCACTGTTTCTAGCTTCTACGTAGATATTATTTTCGGTGATTTGGTCTTTGACACCAGCCAATTCTGCTGGCTACACGGAATTCTCGGAAGGACTAGCTCCCGAGGTCTCAAAGGTAGACTTTTTGCTCTAGAAGCATAGGTAAAGGGTACGAATCTGAACATTGGTCAGTCATGGGAAACAGAGAGAAAAGCTGGAGATTGACGCGGGTGACTTGGGATAACAATGAACTTGAAAGCTTCCAAGCAAGTTTTGCCGGTTTCTTGTAAGATGATTGGACAATTGAGTTAGAAATTTCTCAAACTGTATGAGATGAGGGTCTGCTTTGTGAAGGGAAAGAACCGGTACCTGTCAATGTGTATGGTATCTTGTATGATGAATGTTGTTGCTGTTCTGCAAGAGGTTAGACATCATTCAGGGGAGGGGAGCACCGCGATGCTGCTTTTCGTGAAACTCTGTGGATTTTTCTTGAACCTCGCTCCCTCGGTAGACCTCGGCGCAAATCGAACAAGGCAAAATTTTGCAAACAGTAAAGCAGCACGTCAAGTGAGCCTGTGTGGCTGACATTAGACGAGATATCTTGGCCAATTATATGGATAAATGCACGACCACGCCAGCCATGAAAATGGTACTTCGGACGCTCCGTCTGAAATCATCCACATTAACCACCACATTCGTTCAAAGGATATGGGAGTTCTGGGCTTCCATATTCCTCATCCGTCACTGTGCCGATATTGAATCATTTGCAGAGGAAATTTTCTTCCGAAAAGCACCGGACCGATATGCAAGATCGAGCTTAGATCTGATAAATTTCGCATATACAAGGGACCTAAGCCATAGATGGCTTGCAGCTGCGTTGATACCCTCTTCAGCAGGACATGATATGCTATCTCCTTATGCGTTCGAATTTTGGATCCATTGGGTACGTGACACCAGATCAACATACCCAAACCGTCACCCGGTATAATTTTAGCATGCACGAGATTTTACCTAACTCTTGGTTGCACGCTGTCCTGTGAAAAGGCATACCTTAAAAACACGGTCTCTCCGATTAGATGCAGTGAGCTTCAAGAGCATGCATCGCCTCAAAAGAATGTGAACTTATACTGGATAAGTTGCCTTGATCTGGTAAGGAGGAAAAAGCTATGGAAGCAACGTTGAAGGACAACATAGTGGATGACGATGATGATGATGATGTTGAAGAACGTGAGACGTGAGATGTGAGAATAAGGTGATACAGAATGGTGCTGTTCTGGCTAAATAATGAAAACTTAGGATAACACATACGAGGTTCAAAACGGAGAAGATACCGAAGTTGATGATATTATCAATGAACAATTGTGAAAGCCCCTCAAGCCAAGCCAATTGTTGATATCAGCAAGGCAGCCATAGAGATGGGTATGTAGGTATGAAATCATGCATGGAGATAGATTTGAATGGCTTTTCCCAAATCTCTCCTTGACATGGGGGAAATGTGATGGATAGATGTACTGTAACCTGCAAATGCAAATTGCACCAATGCGATATATTAGGACCCTCAACTTTCAACGATAAGGTGGATGTAAGGTTGATGGTGTGATTTACCACTACTTGAGA